ACCCATCGGGCATTATGCTTGGGTCGAATGCGCCGCCTTTATCAGGCACGACAGGCTTGATCTTCGCTTCGGATTTCTCCGATGCGGCGGGTTCCTCGATGTGGGCTTGCCCACGCTCCAACGGCACAGGATCATCTCGTGTCCTAGCATTGGCAACAGGTGGATGAGATGCAGGGTCTTTCAACAACCTCATCGGGAAGATGAACTCATCAGTCGGAAGCTCGATGCGCTTTGTTCGCTGTACCGTGAGGGACGCATGTTCGATATGGTAATCAAGCCCTTCTAGTTTTGCAACAAGGAACTCACCTTTCCATGCGAACCCGGGCTGAATGTGGTACCCGAGAAGCACGCCTTCGTTTGATGTTGGCGAAGTCTTGCCTGCCTGATTGTCAGCTCGTGCAGGGTTGTTCCAGAACAGTACCTTTGCTCCAAAAGGTATCTCAGCTTCATCAAAGGTCTTGTTAAACCTGAGGTACCATGGCGAATCGTTTCCATTCAACTGTGGCAGGATGTTGGTCGCAACTGCATTGTGCTGGATAGCAAATGGCCACATCGACAGTGGGAACCCTGACTGAACAAGGTTCGCACGTGCTCCCTCCAACAGATGTCTGATTTCCCTTTCCACGAAAGATTTGGAAGAATCAACATATTCAATGGAGGTCTGATGACGGTACCCCAACTGCTCTATTGCGGCTTTCAATTCCCGGGAGTTGTCGGTGTAGAGAACTTCAACCTCATCCCTACCGGAAATGAAATGCTGGATCCCTGCAACGGATTGCTCCGTGCTTTTGCTGGTCGATGGGTAAACGTACCTGAACTGCGTATGCACGTCCTTGATCACAAGAGCACACCATTCACCTTTGATACCCTGCTCAATGTTGGCCTTGAGAATCACATGATCAGCAATGATGTGATCTCCAAACGCTTTCGTCTCGAGCCTTCCCTGCCCGCCCTTCGATCTTGCATATGGGGCAAGCATCTTGGCACGTTGGCAAGTGCGGCAAAAGGGATTCTTCGGATAGTGTGCAAACAAGTGCTCTTTGGTACTCGCTTCGGCAACCAGATCTTGCTCTTTGCGGGATCTAACAAACCGCTCAACTTCGTCGTCGGGATCATCACCTTCGTCGATGCCTTCGTCATGAACCAGTGCAGGCGCTGGCTTGGATGCTGCTACTGCACTCAACGATGGCTCAGCTTCACAGCTGGAATCCATGTATGGCACATGACCATCAACCTTGAGCTGGATCAGAGCACCATCAGGGCGAACCATAGTTGGCGCCTTCCCGGATTCCCAATGGAAGGAATATCCTTGATCCAGACACTTCACACCCAGCGACAGCACTGCGGGAGAACTCTCGAGGATGTAAGGCTGAGCAGGCTCACACAATGCATCGACATTGATGTCGGCGATTTCGGAAGCAGTAATGTTTCCGTTTGCAGTCACAAGGCGAATAGGCTGAGGTGCCTGTTTCCGAATTGCCTTGGACGCATTCCTCAGTGCAGCTTTGCTGATGAGGTCCTGCTCACTACCGGAATCAATAAGCCACACGTCCTTTCCCTTTGGTGCAGGGGTGGCTGCCCTTGGCGCTTCGACATCCTTGCGAACATCGTGAGGCGGCATGGCAATTCTCAGGCACTCATCACACGATAGGCTTGAGATGGAATCGGATTCCACATCGCACATGAAACCACAAGCGGGCTGGGCTCCATTCTCAATGGCTTTGACTACGGCACTCAACTGGTTCGCGGCCTTGCGCGCTGCCTTGTTAGTCCCTTTGGTCGGCCTAGGGCAGTCCTTAGCATTTGGAAACATCCTGTTATACTGCCGTTCCTCGTACTCAAGCTTGAAACCGTCGCCTTCGGCGGGGATCTCATGCACATGAGCATTGGTGTCAAACGACACCCCAATGGGATTGATCGGCTTGGCAAACATGGCGTACCTAGTGCATACTGCGGCGGCCTTGGCCTTGGGCTTAGGCTTAGGCGAATTTGCACGCTTCTTGGCCGCAGGATTTGCGTTGGCCTCGTTGCTCGATGCCGCAGCGGCAGATTTGCCGCCCGTGGAGGCATGGCTAAACTTGCATTTGTCACCTCTAGTGCACTTCCCTTGGGCAAAGAAAGAACACGGTGCTTTCTCTCCTTTACCGCCTTTGGGGGAACTTGGCCTGCCGCGGGTCGCGGAGCGTCCTCGCGGCTCCTTGCGGTGCGCGTAAGGGCAGTTTGCCCCCCTCGTGCACGAGCCCTTCTGGAAGTCAAAGCAGTACTTTTCCTCGGTGTCCTTCGGCTTAGGTGCGCTCTTTTTCTTGGGGTCCCTCTTTTCAGGGGCGGCAGCACCAGCCTTGGGCGTTGGGGCTTTACTGGCATTGACCTTGGACACGCGCTCTCGGTTCTCGCGGAGCCTATCCCTCTCGATTAGATCCCTCATGCAACGCATTAGGAAATCGTACGATTTGTTGGGATCATCATCACGGCAACGATCATATGTGTCAATGTCGTACCGCAACAGATGGCAGCTTCTCACTTGGCGAAGCAGGATGTCTTTCAACACCTTTTCTTCCGGCGGCCTTTTCATGCCGGCGATCACGGAATCCCAAGCGTTTAGGAAACGTTTGAGATCAATGATTCCTTCGCCGTGTCGCGAGACACGCAACAGGTCCTCCAAGGAGTAGAGGTTTCCGGCTTCTTCACTGGTCTTGAAATATTGGTCAAACATAAACAAGACCTGCCTTCCTCTCATGGCCTTTCCCTCCTTGGCACATTCTTCCTTTGCTGTTAGGATTCGCTGAGCCAGATCGCCTTTCGCTGAACGCGTGAGCGCTGCGAGAATCTTCGTGTCTAGGGTCACGAATTTTCCCGGTTCGCCGAGCTCCTCCAACAGCTTCTTCTTGTCCTCGCGATCGGACCAGACTTCCATGATCCAAGGCCAAGCCTCGTCTGGACGGTCAGATGCAGCGCGGACGTCCTCACGAACCGATGTCTTCCATTCACGGTACGTTTCAGGAGTTGGCATCTCCTTGAATCGCAACGTCTCGCTTTCGCGGGTTCTGGGCTTTTCATCGTTCGTGTGGCCTTTTACTAATTTCATCAACATCTTGGCGAATGCTTCATTGCCGAGGTTAGGCCCGAGGCCGTCACCTTCGTCTTCATCACCATCGCCATCGCCACCATCATCAGGTGGCGGACCGCCGGGAGGCTTACCACCCTGCTTGCGGTCATTTGACATTGGCCCCTGAGAGAATTGCAGGGGCGGGACCGGTGCACTTGTTTTCACCGGGGATCGGCTACTACCTGATGGCTTTTCAGCTGGTCCTTGCGGATCGCGAGCATCTGCGGGCAGTGCATCGCATTCGGCAGTTGGAATCACGCTAGGGGTATATTCATCCCCGTAACCATCATAGTTAACAAGCGACCTCAACTTTTCCTTTGCATATTGAAACGGATGGGACAACGGGTCCAACATTGACCTTTGGGACCGAGCTGACTTCATGTCGTCGGTCATCAACTCTGGTGAATCCTCTCGGGTATCACCTACCCCTTTGGGCTTCGATCCATCCTCGCGGAGGTCGTGTTGCTTCTGATACTTCTTCAGCTCATCGAGCTCGTCCTGCAGAAGCCCGTTTTGGTGGGCTATCATGTCAATCGTCCTGGCGTTTTTCGCTTCAACACGGGCTGTGTCATCGGCGTGCTTAGCAGCTTGCTCATGGGGGAGCTGCTGGGCTTCCGCCAGGGTGGATTCGATGGCTTGCCTAAACTCAGTTGTTTTGTGTCTCATTTCCGCTTCATGCAATGCTTGGGCATTTTCCTCACACACTTGGCTTATCCTAGCTTCAGCGAAGTTCACTTCTTGCATGAACTCATCGCTCACTCGCTGTTCGTATTCACGAATTCTATGCGACTGGGCTTGCACACATTCAGCGTAGTGTGCATGCAGCTGATTCTGTGCGACACGGAGCTCCTCACGGTTTTCCGCTTGCAAATGCGTGACAGCTGCTTGATGCAGTGCTTCGGCTTCAGACCTAATGGCTGCATCATTCCCAAAAGCAAAGATTGCGGTATTGTACAGTTGAAGGGAATTCATCAGGGTGCGGTTGTACTGCGCATTAGCGCTTGATGCGAACATTCGCACACCGCCGCCGGTGGCGTTGTCGGAGCTAGCTCCGGCAGCATCCACAGGCATGTTAGATCCATCAACTGGCACAAGGGAACCGTCCATTGCTTGGAGCTAGGGGCCTACGGCTGATAACCTATAGATTCAAGGGTTACCGGTTTGGGGCCCAAAAGGAAACAACAAACCGTCCAAGTGCGCTGCTCGCACATTTTCACGCTTGAACAGCCACACTGCGGATGCAATGGATGTAAAACCCCATACTGACCGATCAAATTCTTCAAAAACCGCTGTTTAAGTTGGAGTCTTCCATTTTGGAACCACCCATGTGTGGTATGTATATACTTGTGTAGATGCATGGATATGTGTGTATATATATATATGTATTCATTGTTATTTACGCTCGGCCAGACAGTGTAGCTGCGTACAAGGGCTAGTGACTAGTGCAGGAAACCCACAAGGAAAACTGGCAAATGGGTTAGTTCGCAGGCACCATCAAGGAGCATGGATAAGCCGCCGGGAAATCCTAGACTCTGACAAATCGTCGTGATTTGCCGGGACATCTGTTCAGGGTCTTGATAGTTCCCTCTTTAATCGCTAGCTTCGGGAAGCTCAAGCCGTCCCGCGACCACAACAAGCCCGGCTAAACATCCGTAGCTCAGAAAAAACTCACCTTAAATGAGTGAAAGAGCGAGGAACCTATCCAAACAGAGAGCAATTGAACATGAGTAGTTTTTCTCAGCCGCTTAAGAGCCACATTCCATCCGGCGTCTACTTTACATCATGCTTAAACTCATCAAAAGAGCGAGGAGAACAGATCCTTGATCCCAACCACCAACTGGGGGTAGTTTGAGGCTCGGTCTGGCTGGAGAATTCAAAGCTGCAGCCGCGCCGCAAAAACGCCCAAAAAAGCCGCAGGGCCATTGTAGTTCGCAGGCCTTGGAAGAGAATATGACTGACTCTTTCAGTCTTTTTGTGCCCTTTAATTTGTAGACCCCAAAACGCAAACAACAAACCGCAGTAGTTATACAAACGAACTTCAGCCACGCAAACTTGCAGTCGTACAATCTGATCTTCCAACTAGCATCTACACTCGGTTGCTTTCTGCTCCCCTGCTAAAAGTTTAACTTGTAGTGGTTTAGTGGAAAACCCATTAGTTGGCAAAAAGTTAAAGTCCTAACAGCCAAGCAAAATGCACCAAAGTACACTTAGCCGTGACCCTTTGAAATGCAAAGCTTCTTTCCTCATCGAGGCATAGAAAGGGCTGGCCAAAGGCAACACAGGCGGAACAAGGCCTTGCAGGTTTGAGGGGTTGGGTCCCTGAGCTTGTTGGTGGTTGGTGTCCATTGACACTGCTACTTTTGAAGGTTAACAGGGAAACGGCTCGGTGTAGCTTGAGATTTCGGTGTCTTTGAAGGAAGACTTTTCGGGGGTTCTAGAAAACTAGGTTGAATGTGGGTTTTGCGGATCCATGCAGCATATTGAAAGAGTACTGAAAGAGTACTAGCGAAGAACTTACAGGGGGAAGAGCAGATAAAATCGCATCCAAACCATTTTAGCAATGGGCCAAAATTATCGTGGCAGCCATTGGTCTGACAAAGAAAAGCCTTCCATGCCGCTATCACGCAGCCCTTGAGGAGGTCTATGTCTTTGCTGTTTTTGGGGTGGGGGGGGGGGGGTGTAGGGTTCTGATGGTTGGACTGCCATCTCACTTTCTGAGCTAGCCCAGAATTTGCTTACCAGTACCTCACTTGCCTAAAGGGCCAGGAAATACAAGGTTCACCTTTTCGGGCCGTGACTAAACATGCAACACAAACCTGCAGCTCCCATCTTTAACCAAACAGACAAAACTCGGTCACCCAAAATGGGTGTCTTTTGCGGGTAACAACCCCCTTTAAGTTGCGGATTTCCATGTGTTTTTGTTCCTTCGAAACCACAAAAACGGGTACCCTCAAGAAAAAACGAACCCAAACGGATTCGAGGATGCTACCCACATGGTATCGTTCGTTGGAGTTGAAACATCAGACCACGAAAAAAGGTCCCCTGAGAAACAAATGCATTATCTTTTTTTTCGCCGTGACCGCTGACCCCCTTTACGAGTCAGCACCCGTGCTTCATTTGTTTTTCGGGGCTGCCCCCGCCCCCCCCCCCGCCCCGAAAAGTAAAGATTACCCTCTAAACTTTTGCACTTGACACTTCACCATTGGTCAACTAGGAAGTTGCACATCGTCAAACAAATCAAAAGGCCGACATCGAGCGTGGGCTGTTTGATCGGAGTTTGTCCCCGGGCCAATTTTGTTTCAATTAGGGGCAACACTGGTAAGCTTCACTGCTCAAGACACACAGCAAGCTGCTCGTGGTTTTTGATCGTCTGAGTGCAATGAAAAGCCGTGAGTGCCATAGTACTAAATCCAAGGCTAAAGGCTTCCTTGCTTGATGCTCTGATGTTACCCAGCCCATGCCTTACCACATGCGGAAGTGATGACATGACGCAAGCAAGTGTTCGTCTCAACAAGTTCTACTTTTGATAGGCATTGGTTCTGTTACGATTCCAAGACCTGAAATGACGAATGGCCCAAGTGAAAGACCTACTCCTTGTGCTCGTGTGTTAGCCTCCCCCCATGAGCTTGTGATAATATTTGAACACTTAGACTTCCATTTGCTTAAGAACCTAGTGACAGATTCCCGTTGAAACCAACATAGTTTTAACCAAATGGAAGTACAGGACGTGGGTTGGGTCAAAAAAACACCAGGATATGGACCATAGGTTTTGATCCTTTCCATTGGGATCCATTTTGGCTACCTGGAGTCTCCATGACCCTTAAAAAATGGGGTCATTATCCAACATAATGGGCCCGGTCATTGCCCCATTTTTTAAGGGTCATGGAGACTCCAGGTACCTATGTTTGACCCACATGTCTTCTGGCCGCAATCTGCCGAGTCGCCACAGTTCTTTGCAGACGGCAATGAACAAATGTCTGAGCCGAATCGGGGCCCAATCGGCGATCTGGTGATCAGGGGCTCGTGCCTGCGAGCTCGAAACGGTTGATGGCATTCCTAGGGCTAATCATTTGGCTGTGGCTCAAAAAACCAGTACCAAAATGGAACCCTGGTAAGTGGAAACATGGACCAAGGCCCGCGTAACCCCTCCTGCTTAATATTGAGCCACACCCATTTGGTCACAATGATTCGAAGAATACTTCTAAGCCTAGGAGCCCTTGAGGCTAGCGAGTTCAAAGCCCTATTTAGTGTCTGGGCTCCCGGGGTAAGAACCTGGGGTCTGAGAACCTTTCCTGACTTGCTTTGGGGGGGTTCTTTCCCTCATTCTCCCCCAAAATGCTGCGAGCATTTGGGAAGAAAAATGACCAAACCATGCGCAGTGCTTCCAGGCAAGCCACTTTGGCAGGCAACCAGTGACCAGGAGAAACAAGCACGGTACAATCCAGAGGCAAAACTGCCCTACCACAGTAACTGGAAGCACTGGGTTTAAAGAGTTAGGGCGACGCTAGATGGCATACTTTCTCTTTGGGTAAGTTAAGTGGAAATACTGACCGAACCCAAAGGACTTGTGATGACTCGTGCCCGCTGCTTTCTTCCAACTGAGGCCAAAAAGGTTTGGCAACTGAGTCGAGGAGCGTCTGAGCATGTAGAGGCACTAGACCCTGCCACCTGATGAGGCCCACAAGCCCCAGGGAAGGAAATGATCCAAGTGCAATGCCATGTCAGCTCCATGATTGATCAAACCCCGCTGAGAAAAGCTCCTGCTTGGGGAACTCCTCCTTTCTCACTTGCCCAAATGGCCTGGAAATAAAAGGTGATCACTTTTTGGGGCCATGACTAAAAATGGACCAAGCAGGGCAAACCAAAAGGTCTAAAGGTTGATTCGCGTTGGGCAAGTGAGCATTTTCCTTACGGATGATCAGAAAGGGTCCCTCACTGAGGTTCTCTTTTTGGAGCTTCTGATTTGACCTGCAAGCAACACCAGGCACGCGACTCTTTCTTCCATTTGCTTGAGTCCATGGGAAAACAACACATATGTCTAGCGATAGATTTGCTGGAAAACCACCAAGGGAACATAAGAAACAAATTCTGAAGCAAAGCTTTGAGTCGCCAACTTTTCTGTTTGGCTGAAACCGTGAAACCGAAGCCGACAGCCGGCTCTCCGCAGGGTTGCTCCGCTCAACAAGATGGCGTCACAGCCAGATCCATTTACCTCGCAGGAAACCAAGGGCTTGCCACCCGATAATTATAAAAACCAACAGGAAAAAAACGGGTTGGGTCCTACTATGGTAACTGGGATCCACTGGGACAACATAAACAAACACTAGTTCACGTACTGACAGTCGAAAGCTTTGGACAAGTCGGTGCCTCAAAGCACCGAGGCTCGCCGATGGGAGCAACCCTAGGGCTCCTCATTGCGTCTTCACATACACCGAACCGCCTTTAAAGGACTTGGAGAGCCTCAGGCGTCGCGCGGTCGAGTTTAAGCCGCTCTGCTCGCATGGATTCTTCTGAAGAAGGAGGTGTCCTTTTTTGGAGTTGGAACTCTTTTTCTGGATGGTTTACAAAGAAGATAGGGGGAAGCCACCCAAAATTTGAGGCTTCCCTCAAAGCACCGCCAAACCAACCCCAGTTCCCGGGTATCCACTGGATGACCCCTTGAATCGGTTCCAGCAAATGGGCACCAAGATCTCTGAATCTCGTTGGTACGGGTGTCAGATGCCCAGTGGATTTCCATGGGACAAAAAGAATCGGCATCCTTTTGTTGGTTGGTTGAATTTAAGGGTAGCACTTCCACCCCAAAAAGAAAGAATACCGAAAAAGGGGCGGAATCTACTGGGCAACTGAGGTGTTTTCCTGCATGCCGCCTACTCATTTCGGCTCGCTGAAATTAGAACTCGGCGGTTGTCTCAACTAAAAATCCCCGAGACGCCCAAACAAAGGGCAGCCTTTTCTTGTGTTTGCGCCCTGCTCAAGGTCCCACCCCAATGGAGTGAGTGGAGCGCCCGCCCTTCTGTTGTTTGGTTGATGACCCAGGGAAACTAGGTCTTCCAGTAGAGAGGTTTGAATAAGGGTACCCTGTGTTATGTAGTCTATTTTAGCAGTTGAAACCCAGGGTAAAGGGGCACTACTAAAACCTCCTTTAAAAAAAAAAAAAGGCACTGGGTGTCGGAACCGATTGGCATCACCATCACGCACATATGAGGATGGCTAAGGAATCCTATATGGTTGTCAGGTGCCCCCGCAAACAGGGGACGCCCTGTGGTCCCCAAAAGAAACCCTAAAACCCTATTCGCCACCCCAATTGACCCTATTTGTCGCTACTAGCCCCTATTCAGATTGGGGAGAGTCCATCTGGGGATAGCGGAATTGGGGAGAGTCTATTTGGTGGGTCCTTGACAATTGCTCGGAGGCGTATCGATTACTCCTGTGATATACACCCGCAATGAATCGAAAAGGGCTACTTCCCTGCCCAGCAAGCCCTTTTTCTTTCCCAACAGAATCAGGGTATTACTTTTCTACCATCTGCTTGGTTGACGTTGAAAGGGGAGCAACAAAATCGAATTTTTAGCTGTTAAGTGGTGGGATTTCAACCACTAAACCACAATAAGCAAAAATGTAAAATGTTTCCCAACAACAACCATGAACTACTGTGGATTGACAAGATCCGTTCGCACCACGAAATGAAACCATGGTTGAAACCATTGTTTGTTAGTTGTTACGGGGGAATCATCATTCCGGATTTGTTTAGATAGTGCAAAATTCTACCATCTGAGTTGACAGTACCAGCCAAAGCAACGTGAGCTCCGTGCGGCTTTTCCCGAAGCGGCCCGACGGCCCGATCGCCCGAGCTCGTGGACCCTGGGGCTCCAGGCATGCAATCCTCAGACCTCAGCTCGGAGCCACAAATTTCCCCCGTGCCGTGTGGATGGACCAAATCCGGTTCGCACCGCCTAAGAAAAAACCATGGTTGAAGCCGCTCGTTGTTGATATGTGCAGGGAAATCGAATCATCCCAGGGGTTCTGAACGGTGGTTCCAGGGGTTCTGAACGGTGGTTCCCAGGGGTTCTGAACGGTGGTGCGAAACGGATTTCGCAACCATCCACAGTATGATGTTGTAGCCTCAAGGACATACGGAATCTGAACATGCCGCATGAAAACACCAGGAATACGTAGTTTATATATGCTTGTGGTTGAATCTTCATGCACAATTACTTGTTGTAAAGCAGGACAACGAAGGGTAGAGCTTGTTCCATGAATAGCAAGGTACTGTACGACCAAAAACAAGCAAACCGCTCTGTAGGTTGAGTTTAAAGGGAACCCCTTCACCAAAGAATGCAAGGACGAAAGAGAGAGAGAGAGAGAGAGAGAGGTGGAAAAAATAAAGCAAAACACATTGCTTTCACTTCAAAGCAGCCCAGTGGATCCATTTACCTATCTAGTAGGTAACAAATGGCTTGCCACCCTTTAACAACCAAAGGAAAAAGTTGGTTACCTACTAATTATATAAGTTTGCCTGGGATCCACTGGGAAAACTGGATGCCCAAAGGAACTAAAAGCTTAGCCGTTTGGAGCCTTGACTAAATATGAACCAACATGACTAAATATGAACCAACATTAGGTCAACATGTGGCTTCGATCAACTGATAATCAAAAAAAAGGGGGAAATAAAAAGGAAAAACAAAAACAGGTGCTGCTGGGGGCAACTGACACTTGCAAAGAGATGCACCAAAGTAAAGAACAACCGAATCCCAGTCAAAGCAGAACACATACAACAGGTGGGGGCAACTAACACTTCCCAATGGATTCCAGTTCCGATTGTAGGTACTTCCCTTTTGGTCTTTGTATGGGGTGTTTCCCCCGAGCCCTTGGTTACCTCAGGTCTATGGATCCGTTGGGCAACTGATGAAAGCGAGCTGCAGGTAGCAATGCCTGCCGCGCTTGGAGCTGCCCGCGTAAAAGGTAAAGGCACGGCACCTGCCGCGAATTGATTGTTTTTGTCGCATGGGCATCGGATCGAAGGATCCTTCTCTGGGTTGTTGCAAAAACAGGTTGGGAGTTGCACCCCTGGTTCTTGTAGAGAGTAAACGTTGGCAAAAACAACGTTCATGGTCAATTACTGGCTTACCCTTACTTGGTGGTTGGATCCCGAGTGGAACTTGAACGGGTCCCTGGCTCTTGTAGAGGGTAAATGGGAAACGGGTCCTTAACTACCAAACCACCGGGCTCCCAACCACCAATTGGAGCGAAACTTAAAACATGGGGTCTCCCGAACACATATCACTTCCTATTGCTCTCACTCACCAACCGTTCAGGCATCAATGTTGAGCCCGGCTTCACAAACCTGTCCTATTCCGGGGTGGGGCACGGTCTGAATCCATAATCCAACCACAAAACAGGGGACACCCACCCTTTTCTGTTTCGACGGGTTCATGCAAAAAATCCGGGGTCCCATCGGGCTTATTAAGGCTCAACCCGGAACCATCGCTGGTTCCAAGGTGGCAGTTGCGAGCCCAACAGAAAGCCACCGACTTCTGGATGCCACTCAAATGGGATGGCGGGCTTTTGATGCCCCAAAGGGCAGTTTGAAAGGGAAATGCGGAGACCGAGCATTTTGGGGTCCCGCATTTTCATCCGACCCCACTTGGTCTTTCAAAAAACACAAAGTCCACATTCGCTGCAAAAAGGGGTGTGGGGCTTCCTGCAACCGTGGCACACTGGCCACTCTGGGCCAATGCGACCTAGAGGAACCGGTCATGTGAACATGGCTCCTATCCCAGGAATGCATCAAGACACCCATCCCGCCTGCTCTCCTTCTCACATCTTTCACCTGAAATTTCACCCCAAGCACGACAAAAGCCGAAGATGCTCTGACATTGTTTTTGCACATACTGTGCATGTTTGCGAAATCCATTTCGCACCATCTAAGAAACCCTTGAATGATGTGTTCCCCGTAAATGCCAAAAAAAACATGGTTTCCCATGGTTTCTTAGGTGGTGCGATCTCTGGATTTCGCGAACACATCCCACCGTATCTCACTTCCAATCGAGTTCGTGTAGCCAAAAGCGCCCCCAAACGAGAGATTTACCTATGGTCGAGCCCCACAAAGTTACTGGAGTCCAGGAACGGAAGGAGTGAGATCTAGTGCGTGTGGTAAAAATTACTTGTCTGAGACCCTGGAATTTCGGCTGGGAACTTATTGCTTTCCACTCAAAAGGCTTCTCACAATGAGCCCACATCTGGGGTGCACAGACCGTAATAGTCTCACGTTCAAGCTTCACATTTAGTCTATAGCCTCTGTAACAAAATCGGGGAGTCAGGAATCGCACAGCTGAGCGGCAAATGGTTTGAAGCTAGGGTGGCTCGTCTTTGGCGTTGTTCCTTATGGCTTTCCTTTAAAACTACAAAACAGGGCCACCATCAAAAAAAAACGAGCCACCCCTCTTGGAAATTGGTTGAGAGGTAGGGATCAAGTTTTCTATAGGATTCGTGTATGGAAAGCCATTAGCTGCCCGGTGATCTATAAAAAGGATTTGCAACTTGCTTCAACAAAATTCACTTGCCCAAAATGAGGTGCAAATGGGCCATGACTAAAAAAATGAGGCCATTTCAACAAGTCCAGTGCAGATGGGCCTGGAAATAAAAGGACCTTTTCGGGCCGTGACTCACTAACTGGGCCAAAGTCAAAAGGCTCGATTCGCTTGAGGCAACTCGTGGGATAAACGGAGGAATAAAAGGATACCTCTTTTTTGGGCTATGATTAAACATGGATCGAAGTGGGAAAATCAAGAGGTCAAGTCAAAACGTCGATTTGGGCAGCTGAGTTTTCTAGGGGTTGATTCCCCATTATTTTCCACCATCGTTCTTTCCAAAAACCGGCCGTTTCCCTGGGTTTGCGCAGGTTTTCTAGAAAGAAGGATCCCTGGAAAGAATGGGGAAGGTACCCCTAGAAGTTTAAACTCTTGACACAAGGAGTCCCCTTCTGGCGAGCATTCATGGATGTGGTCACAAGCCCGACTACTTGCGGGCTTGAAGGTACCTGGTCTCCTTCTGACCCTTAAAAAATAGTTGGTCATTCGCCAAAATAATGGTTGGTCGTTGACCCATTTTTAAAGGGTCAGAAGGAGACTCCAGGTATGCAGAGTTGCTCCTCGAACACTTTTTCCAAGCAATAGCCGATGTGGCACCACCCAAAAGCGAACCGAGCACTTGCCAGGCAATTTTGCAGCGTTTTCCAAGCTGAAGCACAGGTTCCTTCAGATGGACCTTGAAGTACGTTTGGCATGATCTTGTTTGCTCCCACCCCCAAACGGATGAGCAAACGGCATGGTTTCAGACAAAACAAAAAAAAACCGCTTTATGTCAGAGCGGAAACTGCCCGGATCCAGGAGTAAAGGGTGACTGATTTACAAAGGGACCCACTCAGGAAATCGCTGCAACGATTCGGGGGTCATATTCCACCCCCCCCATCAACTAGTCTACTAGTTCAGTATTGACATAGTATTGGGATAGTACTGGCTTAGTATGGGTGCCGTATTGCTTAGTGCTGCCTTAATGTGGATTTCCAATTGGCTTAGTATTGCTGTATGCTTTGTGTTTTTAAAATCGATGTCCCGCTTCAGTCCTCTCTGTATAGTACTGCAATTTTCTTAGTGCTGCCAGCTCTCTTAGTGTTGGTTTAGTCTTGGCTTTGTATCGCTTAGTGATGCGTCGGTTTAGTTTTGGTTACCCGTCTAACGATTCCTGGGGAGACCCGATAATATTCTTCCGTATAACATAAGCAACTTTCTTGTATTGCATTATTAAGTACCAGGGCCTCGTCTGTACTCCCCCTTGGCCGGGCTCTCTCCAAAAAAGACTTAGATCTTAACTTGAAGCCTAGTGTGCGCTGCTTTTTTGCATGGTTGTTTGTGCGCAATGGAAAAAAAGCAGCCCATCCTATGGCCTGTGTCGTACCAAATTCAATCTGCGGAAGAAAACTACAACCAAAAAAAGGATCTCTCACTTCCGATCCAGTGGATTGACTAAAAAACATCCACAAACTCGGTGTTTGTCACTACAGTCGTCCCCAATAGCAAAACATGTCCAGCAACCCAGGGAGACAGTCAAAGTGACGCCCCCAACACTTACCTGGCAAAATTTCACAGACAAATGCTTTGTATCACTGTTCATGTTAAAATCACATCCCCACCAACACCCGGTCTCTAAAATCAACCCCCAATCGGTGGTTTTTGAAGCGAATTACCGGCACCCAAACACAAACCTGATGTCCTCACAACACCGGAGCCTCTCCCAAAGACCCAAAGGCTCCCTTGGTACCTTAACAGGGATCCTGAAAAACACCTGAACATCGCCTGCCTTGTTTTCTGGTGGTGTCCAACTTTATTTTGGAGTTGAAAAAGCAACATGTTTTTCAAATGGTGGCAATTGGTGGCAAAATGGAGATCTTTTAAGGAGCCCTGCTTATATTTGCGGATTGGAATCTGTACTTGACAAACCGCCGTTTTCACTGAACCCGAGAGCCGTACCCTTTGCGACCCTCTGGGTCTGAGCGAGCAGGATTATGACAACCCCGAAAAGGACAACAGCAACTTTGACCAAAGCCCGTGGCTATTCTTCTCTTCAAGGGACGGCAATTCTCAACGAGATCGAAGTGCGTGCCACTGTAGCTGGCCATCCAGTTCTGGCAGAAGCCTACCAAATTGGCGGTGCTATGCCAAGGGCTTCCTCAAACTACGAGGATACTGACAAACTACTCAAACAAATGAGTTATTGCCGCCCAACATTATGGGGTGAACTGAGTATAGGCGGCGGCTCTGAACAAGAAGGGATAATCTATTCACTGAAACCATCATAAATGGTGTCACGGAGTATATTCCAAGAGGATGTAATCGAGAGCTCAAGGAGGAACCAAGTGCGTATGGAAGTCCATGCACGTCAATTAAAAAAAATAATCAACGGAAAGCCCCGGAAACTTCGAAACCCTGGACAATATTTTTTGCAAACCCAAGAAAACCCGACTGTTAGACAAACATGTTTTTTGACTCTCCAAGTAATCTAGAGTGGCCCACACATGTTTCCCTCCTAATGCCATCATTGAGCTGAGCATTGAACGTTGTACTTGCACGGCGATATGACCCAGAATGAAACCCAGTGCTAGGCAAGCCACTATAGGTAACTAGGGGTCATGATGTAAAACCTGAAGGAAGCCATGGTTACGTAGTATAGTGGCTTGCATGGAAGCACTGGGTAAGAGTCTTAACTGCCTTGAATCCGGTTGCTCCCCGTGTCGTTGGCTCAAAATTTGAGCCCAGCCGAGCCTGGGTTAGGCAAAATGTCTCGGTTGTTTGGTGAGGGAATGGGTGCTAAGTAGGAGGCACTGTAAAGCCAAAGAAACCACACATCACGTTTTGATGTCGCTGGAAACGCAACAATGAGTCGTAGTTACAACTAAAACTGATCGCTATCAAAATGCTCGGGACCCAGAAGCATGCTTCAGGAAATACAAAGGACGCGAAGGCACCCATTTATGGTTGGGACTACAGTACCCTTGCTGGCCTTCATCTACCTGGAGTCTCCATGACCATTAAAAAATGGTTGGTCATTGCCCAAAAGAATGGTTGGTCATTGATCCATTTCTATTTAACGGGTCAGATTTGGAGACTCCAGGCAGGCGACTTTGTCTATGGCTCATGGCGATGTACCAGGCATCTGAATCCTTGACCTTTTGGCCTAAGTCTTCCACTTGAAGAAGCTGGGCTGGAGGATTTCTCAAGATAGACCCCATTTTGGATAGATAGACCCAACTTGTTTTGGTGGAAGGGAAATGAAAAGGACACCACCGGTTCAGGGGACCACTATTTTAAAACTTTGAGAGACACCGGGATAGTCTCTTGGCTCCTTGCTTGAAACACTGCGCAAATGAAGCACCCTAAGTAGCTGGGGCCCTCAAATAGGACCGTGAAATCAGGTCCACAGACAAATCAGGTCCCCAAATCGGGTCCAGTGATGCTTAGTGCACTGCACCTCCGGCGCAGATTGAACCAAACCAAGGCGCTTCAATCCGCCCACCCCGGCAGTTGCAGCACCTAACCCTAGGCTGTCCAAGCTAAGTCGGTTATAACCATGGTTGTAAGGGGACCAACCCCAGCCACCTGGCTTATATCCAGAGTTATAACCTGGCTGTGGGTCAAAAATCGGTAACCAAAATGGCTTGCCCTGGTGAATGGAAGCATGGACCAACACCTGCGGTTTTCTGGTGGTTTCATTTTGACCCATACCCACCTAAGTTGGCCCCTTTCATTCTTCGAGGCCCCCATTCGCAATCGAAGGGTCCCACACGCAAGCTCAAGTTGCAAGCTCGCGGAGCGAAATCGCCCGCTCTGCTGGCAGGGGGCTTCTATCAGCAAAGAGCCAGTGACTTCGTTCTGCCCCGCCTCAGGCGATTGCCCGATACGAAGAATACATGTGTATACGCATTTCCAGAGATAGATGCCCGATTTTACACCAAGAGGGGAAACAAAAAGGAAGCATTGCTACAGATCCCGTGAAATTGTTTTTCCAGTGATTGCATTCCCTGTAAAGTAATTACGCAGCCAATCGAACCACCCTTTAAAAGCCCCACGGAGAATAGCCGGCTAATGCCGGCTATCTATATGGGTTTGCCTGGGATCCACTGGGTTTGTCTTCCTAAGCTTCGTAGGAAACTGCCTGAAAACCTCCCGCGAGCTCGACAGCTTCTTGTCGGCTCGGTCCAAGTTCCTGGTACTTGGACGCACCAAGGGACCGCAGTTTCGTCATCGGGACGCACCAAGGGACCAAGGGAGCCTCCGGGAAAAATGGGTGTGGAACCAAATTAAACAGGAGGGGTTACGCAGGTTTTGGTCCATGCTTCCACTTACCAGGGCAAGCCATGTTGGTACCGGATTTTTGAGCCATTGCCAAATTTGGCCGTGATCCTCTGGGAAAACCGCGCTCAAATGCAGGCGTTTTCTATGCACCCCCAGCCTCGAGGGAACAAACAAGCAACTGGAGTCTCCTTCTGACCCTTGAAAAATGGTTGGTCATTACCCAAAATAACGGGGTCATTGAACAATTGTTAAACAATTTGTGGGGTCATTACCCCAAAAAATGGTTGGTCATTGAACGATTTTTATTTCGGGTCAGAAGGAGACTCCAGGCAGGTTGATCATACTGGCACCTCCCTGGTGTCCAAGGCCAGGGGTTTCCGTCTCGAGCCCTAGGTGTCTGGTGGGCCTGAAATGGTGAACCTGTTTTGGTGCTCAAGAGAAACCAACGAGGCCCTCCAGATTTGAGAGGTTGGAATACCCTCAAAAAAGACACACCCGAATTGACAAGAAAACCAACGCTAACTGAACCGCCGGAAGAACAAGGAAGGCACCCGCTTGCCCTACCTCGGTGCTTGAGATTAGTAGCTAAGTAGCTCAAAACAAAGCTGCCCTTTTGCGCTACCCTTTGATGCCCAAAAAAAGAGGTCCCAACAGATTCTTGCTCACCGCAACCAAGCTGGCCGGTTTGACACACAAAGGGCGAAGTCAAGGAAACCAAGCTTCCAATGCGCTCCGAACCCTTAGTAGAAGAAATGGCTCCTCTAAGGGACACCTTTCAGCACGCCCATCCAAATCCCTGGTGACGTCGATATTCTTCTCACAGAGTTGGATTCGCCAAAGTCCACAACGGAACTCAAGGAGTGAGCTATTTGAAGACAGCTCCATGGACAAATTTCCCGGCAGTCTCCATGACTCTGAAAAAAGAGTCCAAATAACCCAAAACACGGGGTCATGACCATGTGCGTCCTTTTTGAAAAATTGATGGCCCTGGTAAATGGAATAAAACCCATCTAGACTAGTGCCATTCACTCTCAATCAAACTAACCTATGGCCATGACCCCCTTGTTTTTGCGAAGGTTATCTTCTTTTGGTCCCCCCATTGGTGGTTGCCCTTTTGGCTTCCTTTAAACCACTAAACAAGGGAACCCTCAAACAAAGACACACCCACATAGTCAACCAAAACATGATTCAAGAACAGTCTCAGCTTCAAGCGACTAGAAAAAGAACGGGTGCTTTGGTTGTTGTATTGCTTCTGCCCAGAAATCTATGGGTGTTTGAATCTCCAGGAGTACCTGGAGTCTCCATGACCCGAAATAAAACTGGGTCCATGACCAACCAAAATTTTGGGTAATGACCAACCATTGTTTATTCGGGTCAGAAGGAGACTCCAGGAGTACCCCATGGAAGCTCCCAGGATCCCTTTGGAAGACTTGGTTCCATTTACGGGATCGGCCTTCTGGGAGCTTCCGGCTCTTAGTCTGAGGGGGTGTATACTGGGATCTGTTTGGGGACCCGTTCTTTGGGCGAAATTCTGCTGATTTGGATTTGGTAGATATTTATGGGCTACTGGGAGCTTCCATGTTAGTCTGAGGGAGTGTAACCCTGGGGTTCCTTGCTCCAGGGTTTTCCCAGTTTGGATGATGAAACTCCTTAGGTAAATCATGGTGGATAGAAATTAACCCCCTATGTTTTTCATTTTTCAGCAAATACTCCAGGTAGTTTCCCAATGGATTTGGATTGACCAACCAGTTGTTTGAACAGCCCAGTCAAAGTCCAAGGTCTACCGCGCCATCGGCCCAGGCCACGTTTAAGCAAATGGACGGGTCATGCCTCCGGTCGAAGCCGAGACGCTGATCTCCTCAGACATGGGCCACTCGCGCCAGGGCTTGCTGGCGCGGCAAAGGCTCCTGGAGAGGTCCTGAAGACGGGCACAGAAGGGGTAGGACCCGCCTTGTTGTTGATTTGTCTTTCTCTTTAAAAAAAAAAACACATAATAATAATATGTGTTTCCCTTTTCTCAGGATATATGTTGAAGGTATGTAAATGTGTTCCTCCCTAGGGTTTGATTCCCCATTCTTTTCAACCATCCTTCTCTTCAAACACCAGCAGTTTCCCCTACATCCCTGGAAAGACTGGGGAAGCTTTCCCTAGAACAGGGATCCTGGCATTATACACCTGAACATTGTCTTGTAATTGCCGGTTTCCAACTTTATTTTGGTGTTGAAAAAGCAATTGCTTCAAATGGTTTGCAAAATGAATTTATTTTGAGGAGCCCTGTAGAATTTTACCTTCTTTCGGGGGTTGACGTAACAAGTAAATAACTTTTAGTGGGTCAAATGGAAACCCAACAACTAAACACTCTAAAAGGCTAAGGAACCGGATGGGAGCAACCAAGGGTTACCTCTTACATGCCCTACCCTGCAATATATACTCTTTTTTTTTGAAGAGCCTGGGTTTCCATGACCTTCAGAGGTTCACATACTCCTGCAAACCAGTGGTGTCTTGCCATGGCATTTCTCGGCGCCTCATCCAGAGCCTCCGCTGGTCCCGGTGCCTGGCACCAGGAGCTGCCGGCAGTGAAGATCCGCGTGCCCAGCAGTCGATGCGCCACGTGGCCCATGAGCTCTGCGCCGCCTGCTTCTGCTTCCTGGGCTTTGAGCTTTGCTTGGGTCAAGCTGGTGATTTGACACTAGGTCCAACCCAGATTTGAGAGCTTCGAATAAGTTGGTACCAACTTCTTTTTTCCGCTTGGTCTATTTTACTAGGGGAACCCTCCACCAAAAAAAAGGGTGAGAAAGGGCACGTAGACGGGGGACCTGGGACAGGTGACCACGGTTTAAGTCCCTGGGTCTTTTGGCTCACGGAAGCTGCTTGCCAGAGCCTATCGTGCAGTGTTCAACCAACTTCAGGTATGACCAGCGCGACGTTCTTTTTGTGGGCGAGCAGGGGTAGCTGCCATCTAACTTAACGATTGAAAGAAATAACATCTTGCGCTCCCAAGAGACGCTCCGGGGAGGTCAGGACCTCGATCCCGTGAAGTAAAGGAGAGGAGTAAACATGCGCGAAAATCGTGGCATCTACCTTGGGAACCGAAGGAGAAGGCCAATGCGCAAGAAGAAATGGATTGGAATATCCCGTTCTTGTGGAAATCTGTTAAACAACAGGTTCAGTGGTTTAGGTAGAATGCGCAGCCCCTGTCTTTCCCTGGATTGTGATACCAAGGGACACCAGAATGATGGGTAAAAAGTGGTTGAAAGCGACCTAAAAACAAGCGACACATACGAATTTGGCTAAGCGGTGCCTGTGCACAAAGATACGAACCGTTCACGAAGTCTTCCAAGATACTCGCGAAGTTTGCACTCACATCCAATGATGACAAGGTTGTTGAACACATGTGGTTGACTCACTACTACGAAAAAGGAAACAAAAACTAAGGGATGGCAGAGCACCACCAAGACATGTGGTGGGCTCCAAACCAGCTGCGTCTAAAATACAAATCCTGTTTTGACTTTGATTTTCCCAGCTCCCGTAAGAACATGGACCCTGCCCTACAAAGAGCCATCTGGAGCCTTGGGAAGCGACCAAACCAGCATTCTAGGGGTTGATTCCCCATTCTTTTCAGCCATCCTTCTTTTCAAAAACCAGCCATTTCCCCAGGGTTTTTGGTGATTGTCTAGAAAGAAGGATCCCTGGAAAGAATTGAAATGGAAGTTACCCCTAGAAGCATTTATTTCAGCCAAACAAAAAAACCTGACACAAAAAAGCGCGGGTCTCCTCAAAAATTGGCGATGTGCAGAAACGCCTCCGGTTGGGGGTGGGAACAAAGAGAAACATGCCGAAGGAAGATCTGCCTGAAGTCTCCATGACCCTTAAAGAATGGGGTCACTACCCAGAATGATGGGGTCATTGCCCCATTTTTTAAGGGTCATGGAGACTCCAGGTAGGTACATGACCGCCATTTCTAAGGACCCCGACATCTGGGTATTCCTTGCGCCAAAGAAGATCCGCACGCCATGTAACTTCAACTCTGCATGGTCGTGCCATGACCTCATGATGTCCTGAGGCGAAAATGAAAGAGTCCAGGACCCTTTGGGAAGTGTTTGGCTTCGTTGATCATATTCTCGAGTTCTCCAAAAAGTGGAGGGCCCACTTTGGGTATTTCAAGGGAAGCCGACTGGAAATCAGTGATTGCGGGGGACCCAGCACCCGCTATCAAACTGGGATCCTTCCGAATCCATCCTTGGGAAATCCTTGTAACCGCCGCCCCTCGCCGAAGAAATCAAGAGGAAAAGTGTTCTGTAGAAAAGGAAAATAGAACACAACAAATCAATCTACCATCTTCGACCCCAGGTTGAAACATGTTTTTAAAAATCATTCAGCTGCTTTCTCTCCTCTTCGCCTCGCTTCTCGGAGCTCCCTCCTTCCAAACAGCCATGGTCGCTTCCACTGATCCTAGTCTCCAAGTCCGTCCGAAACACGAGGCCATACTTTAGCCCACCTGGAGTCTCCATGACCCTTAAAAAATGGTTGGTAATTATCCAAAATAATGGGGTCATTGCCCCATTTTTTAAGTGTCATGGAGACTCCAGGCAGCCCCAAAAAGCGTTTCGGGCCCATGGAAATGACCTGGAAGCGCCATGACCCGAATCAACATTTTGGTTGCATCATGACCCCTTCCTGAAGTCTCCATGACCCTTAAAAAATGGTTGGTCATTACCCAAAATAATGGCTGGTCCTTGACCGATTTTTTAAAGGGTCAGAGGGAGACTCCAGGCTTCTATTTTTTGGTGCAGTCTGACCCAACCCCTCCTTCGGGTCAAACAGGTTCCTCACCACCCGAAAACGCGGCCCGCGGCCCGGGGCCCGGCCCTCCGCTGCTTCCGAAGGACCGCTTCCCCGCAAATGTCGAAGACCACCAGACTGGCCATCGAGGCGAGACTTCCCGCCGCGCCACAGGTGGGAGTCACCTGCCGCGAGCGGACTGCTGAAAATGGGTGTTTTTCAGTAGTGCCCGACCTCTCACTCCTTTTTTGGGGAAGAGTTCCCCTACTAAAATAGACTACAGAAAAAAGGGTACCCTTATTCTATCCTCTCTACTGGTGTGGCTCAAAAAGAAAACGATCGGAGGGGCAAACCGCAGGTTTTGGTTCATGTTTCCACTTGCCAGGGCAACCCATTTTGGAATTCCGGGTTTTTGAGCCACAGCCAGATGGTGCGACTGGGGCGATTCGTGTGAGGCGAGGGTCGCCGAATTTCAAATTTCCGGGTTGGCTCAGAAGGGGACCAAAGCAAACCCTGGAGTCTCCTTGTGACCCTGAAAACGTGGTCATTACCCAAATATTGGTTGGTCATTGACCAATTTTCGACTGGGGTCAGAAGGAGACTCCAGGAACACCTATTTAGGAGTCCTCTTATTTCGACACATACTGAGCTCTCCAAGGGTTGGGCCCAACCTGGTTCAACGTGAAGCACCTATGGTCAACACAGCCTGGCTGCTCTTTAAAGGGTGTGTCCACCCGATGTTCGGCCAGCAAGTGGATTGTCAAACAGGCAAAGCTCCAGTTAGGGGCCGTGAACGGAGTTCCGCAAATCGATCAGCGGGTCGTGCGGTCAACAAGTATATAATTGATAAATCCGCCCTATTGATATTTTGTGTGTGTTTTCTCCAAAAGTGATGATTTCCCACTAAACCAAGCGGCCCCCCAGGGAGATCATTCCCAGCGCAAACTTAACATCCCTCCCAAACGCAGCGCAGGTCCAGTTGGAACACGACTTTCGGAAAGCGGCCGAAGACCACTTCCATGCTTCTTGAAGCCGATCCCCCCCTCGATCTGCAAAACTGATTTCGGATCACCCTGGCTGCAAGAGAACTAGCTACCTGGAGTCTACATGACTCTTACAAAATGGAGCCAAACACCTTTTATGCTGGGTAAGGACCCCTTTTTGTTAGCGGCATGGAGACTCCGAGTACCCTTCAAAAGCGCAGTAACCTACTGAGTGAGTTAGCCCAAGCATCCACCAGGCCGTGGAAAGGCACGTTTCACTCATGGAAGACTTGCTTGGCATCCCCAGCCAGTGGATCCCAGCAGTGCTAAACCAGCCATGGCTACCTGGAGTCTCCATGACCGTTAAAAAATGGTTGGTCATTATCCAAAATGAAGGGGTCATTGCCCCATTTTTTTAAAGTGTCATGGAGACTCCAGGTACCTCTAGGTTTTACATCATGGTTTCCGACCCAAGACTCTAAGATTCTCGATGAGCCGCCGGCGCATGCTGGAAACGCACCCTCTGCGCGATGAGAAATGGAAGGAGCGCGTAGATAAAATCGTCGGAGTCATCCTCAGACAAAACTGATTGGACATTGTTCAAGCTTCCGCTGACCCTCCCGCATCCTTGCCGCGGGCCAAGAGGTCCTTTCCGCAAACTTCCGCGGCACATGCTTGTCATTGTTTGCTTCCGCAAACCTTGCGTGGCGTGTGTTTTACAAGATTTGCTTCCTCGAGTATTGGCGCGAAAGGAAAGTCAGTTTAAGTAGTAAGGAAAGTAATGTTTCTGGGCTCCATTGGACTACCCGTGCTACGTGGGCACTTGCATGCAAACACGGGGCCACTCTTCCGCGGAGCTTCCGCGAACCTTCCGTGAAATCCGCCGGCTGGTTTGGTCGTCTTGGCTTGGTGGCAACTGCTCTTCTAGGAAGCGTTGCGTTTCTCGTACACAGCAAAACCTGTATGCTTCTACTGCAATCGTTTCTGCGTGCTTTTCCACGCAAACTGACAAAATATGCTCATATCAACCACAAAGCTTCCGCAAAAACTTCCGCGAAAGAAACCCCTTCCGCGAAGCCTTCCGCATGCTTCCGCGTGTGGCGTGGTGCACATGTTCAAGAATCGTGTCCCTCTCCTTACTAAATTAGCTTGTGGCTGAAAAAACCGCCGCTCCAGTGGAAACACTGGACGGCAAAACATCCCAATTTGGGGGGTTGTGGGGGCTCCCCCAACGACACGAAACGGCAAAATGGCACCACAAATTGAAATCCAGGGGTCACCCACCCCCCAATTTCATGCTTGAGGTCACTAATGTCCACAAATCCCACTTGCCGTTACAGTTCTGCAATCCCACTTGTCTCTATAGGCAACTACAGACTTCTGTAGTCATTTCGGTCGTTTTTTTTGGTTACCGGTTGGCATCTAGTGGTAACTGAGGCATGCAAGTTGGCCAAACTGGTTTCGTGCTGCATGTTGTGTCCTTCAATCAGGTCCAACTTGGCAATGTTCAGAGGGGAACAGGGGAAGCAAATGAAGCAACTTGACAATTGAAGATGGAAAATAACAACTCAACATGAGCAAATTAGCAAAACAACGCTAGTCGTCGACACTACCGACCAAACAAATGGAACAACAGAGGCGGAATCCGCTGGAACAAACTGCGTGGCATGCTCTGCATGTTTTATGAACGGGACGCAGGAAGGCCCAAAAGAAGATTACTCCTCCAAATTGCAGGCTTGTCCAACCCCACAGTGACCATAGGAAACACATGTGGTTGCTATTACTATTCTCCCTAGGGTTCAGTTACCAGTTACCACCATTGAAACAAACGGGCTTCATATAACCACCATATAGCGTTCAGGAGTTTCATCCTCCAAATTGGTGGGGGTTTAACCCTAGGGCTACTCGGGATACTGGTATTTTGTAGTGCTATTTTCACAGGGAACCTTGGTTGCTGTCTGCTCCCCTGCTAAAACTTTAGCCTTTAGCGGTTTAATGGAAAACCCACTAGTTGGCAAAAAGTTAAAGTCCTAACATCCGAGCAAAATGCACCTCTGATTTTGCAGTGTTGTATCTTTTTCACAGGGAACCCGCCGCCAAAACCGCCAGCAGAACTCTCCAGCGCCGCGAGTTCGGTTGGGACGGGCGGCATCCTCCGCACTCAGCGCTCGGACCTCCGCATCTCGTGCCCAGTGGAGCCCCGGCCCCGCGTATCCGCCTGCGACGTCTGCGGATCCGCGGGGCTTGGGGCGGGGAGGCGAATTTGGGGGCACCGCGGCACACCAAAAACGGAGGCACAGCCTGGGAGCAGCCCGAGCAGCTGACTTCTCTAACCTTCGGCCTTGTTTTATTTGGTCTTTTTTTGGTTTCGGCGTCAACTCGCCTTATTCCTAGGAGGTGTCTTTTTCGGGTTTCGACCCCAGCTCGCCTTTTCCCTAGGAGGTGTCTTTTTCGTGTTTCGGCCTCAATTCGCCTTGTAGGAGGTGCTTGGACCCTGAATCCGAGGGCCTTATCAAAAGCCGCAAACGATATCCTGGGCTCGGGTTTTTCTTCGACCTCCCGGATTTAGCCATAGGCCCCAAATCCTGAAGGGGTCTTTGGGGGGGTAATTGGCAGGAGCCTCTGGCTCCATCACTGCACACTTTCTTAGTTCTTGAGGCCGACACTTCCTGGAACCAAGTTTCGCAACAAAAAAACACATGTGATCTGCGAGCCGCAGCTGCAAAGGTGTGCTACGTATCTTAAGGTCGATATGCCCCAACTCGCTGCTCGCCAATGCGATGGAAAGGCGCACAGGTGTAGAGCCAACAAGCAGGGAACCTCATTGCTTGGAATGCTCAAAGGAGAAACCACCTGGGCGAATCATGTGTTACGACATACAAAACGCCGACCCAAAAGAAGGGTTCCTAAGCAAGTTACCTTCATCATGGGTGCAGTCGCAAACCCTGGCCGTGATGTCGCTATAATTTGCAACCCAAGCCATACTTTGTGGCCCAAACTAGCATCCAAGAAGCCACGTATTGTCAAAGCTTGTGTTTGACGACGCTTTTTCGAGCCGCAACCTGCTGTTTCAGTCCTGGAACCAAGAGGAACATGGGCTGTCAAGAACCAGGTTGGGTAGACAAACAAAAAAGCAGGGCCCTTGCGTTGGAACAAACAGGGTCCGTGCTGCCCTCCTGTCCATTTGCAGGGAACCTGACGTTTCGGGGTCCTGGGTTGAACTATTCTCCTGTAAAAGGTACCCTGTGGTGGGTTCCATGTTAATGTTGACCCCGGATTAATAAACCCGTCATATGAGTTGGGGGGGGGAAAGTGAAAAATCCCCACCAAAAAGGGGACACTCCCGGAGAATCAACCAGGGGTTTACTAATTCCCTTCATGGACAGAAGCAGGGCTGTGGAAAATGACCACTTCTGTGATACAACAAAACAGGCTTCCCGCAGACTACCCCCCCCCCGCCCCGATTTTAAGGGGGAGATGCCCTTGTGTTACAGAAGTGGTTGGATAAACCCCGAGTGATCCCACAACCGTGGACAGACTTAGTAAGTATAGGCTGTACCTATTGCTGTAAGGAGATTAACCCACTTATAACCACCTGGAGTCTCCTTGTGACCCTTACAAAATGGGAAAATGCCCCCAGTATTTGGGGTAATGACCCACCATAATTTAAGGGTCAAAAGGAGACTCCAGGCAGAGTTACACTCACTTGCTGAGTGGATGGCCCACAAAAGTCCAAACTGTATGTTTCCCAATAAACCGGTCTTCCCACAAAAAATAAAGTTCATGAACTCAGGAAGCGAGTATAACCTACTTGCTAACTTTGCCGAACACCCAAGAATCTAGGGGTACCTTCCCCATTCTTTCCAGGGATCCGGATCTTTCTAGAAAACCTCCCCGGCAAACCCAGGGAAAACGTATCCGGTTTTTGAAAAGAACAATGGTTGAAAAGAATGAAAAAGGAATCACCGTCCAGAAAAGTGGGAAGATTCACGGCAAATTATCCTGCAAGTTGGGGCTCACTTCTATAGTTCATTGTCAGGTACGAGCTTTGGAGGTATGGAGGCTTTTGCCACCAGTACAAGCTTGCATGGCAGTCTCTAGTGTATGACGTGGACCTTTTGCTAAAAAAGGAACATGCCTAGAAAGAAGCCTAGGTTTCAGATAAGGTCTTCAGGCTCCCCGCCTAGGACCAAGGTCTTGATGATCGTGTGCGACGGCAACGCCTGCCTGAGGACCGGAATGGGTAGACCTTCCAGCAACCCTTACCCTCGGTTTGTGCAAAAAGGCCAGCTAACCAAGAGGAAAGTAGTCTGTCAGAAGTCTGTGCACTTCCATGTTAGCTGGTGGGAGGGTAGTGGGCACACCAGAAGTTGTTGGGGGCAAGAACCGATGGGTAGTTTCAGGCTCCAAGAATCTGGCCTCAAGCTTGGAGACCTGACTAAAATGGGTAAGTTTCTCTTTGGATCCAAGCTCAAATAAGGGGATCCGCAAAACACATAACCAAGTGAGCCAGAATCAAAACAGATCGGTATTCAAATGGTCATAATCCCAGACCCATAGAAGGACAATTAAAAGGCGGCTGCACCCATTTAAGTGTGGCAAATCATCCATCTCCACTGGTGACAGTTGACTAGGACTAGTACGCTCAAAAAAGTGGCAACGGCAAAAACTGGTTCCATTCTTGTTTTGACATTCTCAAGAGTTTCTCCGAAAGAGGCAGAAGTGGAAACCGGAACCCGTCTCACGTGTCAGCCGGTTCGTTTGAAGGAGCATTGTCTCAAGTCACCCGACACCCTCCGTGTTTAATCACGTCAGGGCCCGGATCCCGCCATGTTCGCAATCCAAAGGCTGGCCCACAGGGCACCAGGCCTCCCAGTCGACATGGAACTTTCTAAAGGGATCATTCTCGGCGGAAAAAAACAAAAAACCTCTCAAGAACCATGTCAGTTTCAAAAACCTTCTGACAGACTCCATTCTCCGCCCAAGATCCATGTCAGATCCAACAATCCACAAACCTTCTGACAGACTGGCTGTGAAGCATCTTGCATTCTGTTGAGCTGAAGGGGAGCACAAGGCGGTTTGGTCACCAAGGACCAGCTACAGGCTTTCGTGTGCTAGATGTCGCAAATACAGTCGACACCGGGTGTTTCCCAAACAAGGAAGGATCCCCCTCAAAAAAGAGAACAACACATACTAATCAACCAATCCCTAAGGCTCCCGATTCACCACGGGGCGGACTACCAATTCGGGGTCTTGCGCTTGATCCAGCTACAACCCCCACACCCCAACACACCCCAAACTCTCGACCCCTGCCTGCGAGGCCCCAAGAGAACATCATTTGATTCGCTTTCATGTAACGCACTAATTACTAGGCGAGGGGTTGAATGTAGGAGTCAACGGGGAGGGTGAGCAAGACTTGTAGGAGCTCCCTGTGCCTCCGTTTACCTGGTAGGTACAAGTTGTGTTTCTCCGTTCAACAGCGCGCGGAGTTGCCTGTTTCGCCCCACGAAACCCTAACCAGTCGCAGCCAGGGTTTCAAGGTGACAAAAACAGAATCGTGAACCCCGTCCCATTTTGCATGCTCAGTGCTGAAAAGGCGCAAAGTTAAAGAAAGAACCGCTTGGTGGAAATTTGGCAGGAGCAGCCACAAAAGCTCGGTTTTGAGCCAGCGTGCACTGCTTCAGTCTGCGCCTGCGACAAGACTGGGCGTTCATCATGCTGGCAGCACACGCTTGTGTATGACCGCGCAAATAGGAACTGCTTGATCTAGCTCAGAACACGGCGGCCAACCAATAGGGTATTGCCTTGCCAGCTGCCTTTGGAGAAATCGGCGGGCGCGTAGCACGCAAAGTGCGGCGAAGGCTACGACAATCAAGCGCAGCTGCAACATCCAATTGTTGGCGGGCACACTGGCGCATTGCCAGTCGCAAAAAGCCTTCCAGGCGTGGCGAGGAGTTAGGAGCACACAAAACGTTTGGTCTGCGTAAGTAGGTATGCACTGATCCATTCAAAGCTTTGCCAGTTTCTCGGAACTCGGGGGCGGCAGATGTCGTGGGTGATGCGATCCGTGCCACCCTGCAGCCAAGCCCTGCATAGTCAACAAAGCAATCATGAAACAGCCCCTCATACAGGTCAACAGCAGATGGTCAACAAAGCGCGAAACAGCTCTCATCACACAGACATCCACGCGTGGCCCATCCGCAAGATCCACCGACCCCAGAGCATGGTGCTTGGGGCTTGTTTAAGCTGGGGTTTTGTCAGGGGATCATTTTTGCGCCGACGTCTTTCTGACGCTCGCGGAGTCACGGCGTAGATTGTTGAGGCCCGAAATTTGACGAGGCCAACCGACGCAAACTGACGCCGACCGACGGCTTTCTGACGCTCGGGGCGCTGAAGTGTCGCAACTTCGCAGCCCCAAGGAGGCCAACCGACGCCAACCGATGCCGACGGATGGCTTTCTGACGCTCGGGGCGTCGAAATGTAGTAAGTTTGAAGCCCCACAGAAGGCCAACCGACGCCAACTGACGCCAACCGACGGCTTTCTGACGCAAAAGGAGGCCAACCGACGTTAACCGACGCCAAGCCAACTGACGCCAAAACCCAGCATCCCCAGCAACACTCTCTCCATCACCTGCAAGGAAGAACTCCCAACTTCGACAGGTTCCCAGGCACCACCAGCAACTCAACCAGATCCCTACACCAATTTGTGTTTGGTGTCTGCGTTGCTGTCTCAAGAAGCCGCGTGTTTGCCACTGACAAACCTGAAAAGAGCTGCAGCCGGATGGGGGGGGGGGCGCCGGCGGTTTGCGTCGGTTAGCGTCAGTTGGCGTCGGTTGAACAGGGCGTCGGTTGGCGCCCTTGGTCGGTTGGCGTCGGTTGGTGTCGGTTGGCGTCGGTTGGCGTCGGCTGGCGTCGGTCGGCGTCTTGGCGTCGGTTGGCGTCGGTTGGCGTCGGTTGGCTTCCTGGCGTTCGTCTAGTTGCGTCGGTTGGTGTCGGCTGGCGTCTTGGCGTCGGTTGCCTGTGGTTGGCGCTGGTTGGCGGCGGCTGGCGGCGGTTGGCATCGGCTAGCGTCGGCTGGCGTCGCCTGGCGTCGGTTGGCGTCGGTTGGCGTCGGTTGGCGTCGATTGGCGTCGCCTGGCGTCGGTTGGCGTCGGTTGGCGTCGGTTGGCGTCGGTTGGCGTCGGTTGGCGTCGGTTGGCGTCGGCTGGCGTCGGCTGGCGTCGGCTGGCGTCGGCTGGCGTCGGCTGGCGTCGGTTGTCGGCAGGGGACGGCGGAGTTTCATGATATCTTCCGAAGTCGCACGCGCAGCAAGCTCAAGATCGGAGACTTTTCCTGCTCGCGACCGATGAGGGCGCAGTGAACCTCATGGACCTTAACGTCAAAGCTCTGAGCAGGCAACCGCTGAAAATCTCAATCTGGCAGCAGTGGTTTTTGCACATCTTGCTGCACAGCAGCAGACATGAAGTTGCTACCGTAAATGTTCCTGCTTGCCCCCTGGACAGCCGGCTTTGCTTGATGTTCCCATCTTGCCCCCTGGACCCTCACAGCTTGAGTATAAATGAGTGTCAGCCAGCCCCGGTTTTCGGGGTGTCGCGGGGCGTGGACCTAAAATCTTGGAGGCCCCAGGAAGCCCCAAGGTGTCTCCTGGCCAAACCCCAAAATGACGGGGTGTGAGTGGCACAGCCTGGGGCGAGGTACGAGCACCCCAAGGAGACTTAGGGATGGTCAATTTGTCCTGGGTTCTCATTCGCAGCCCATGTATATAAAGGAACATCGCTTAACAGGGCAACCATCTGCTCAACCCTCTCCACCAACTGAAGCCTTCAAGAACTTCCACACGATATCTGAGTATCTCATTTCATCACCTATCGCGCTAGTCTGGCCCACTGACCATTCCCATAAGGTGCTCCCGGAAAAAAAAAAAGAAGCTCAAGACAAATCCGTGACACCCAAAAGCAGAAAAAACGCGTAGAGGAACTCTCCTCTTGGACTTCTTGTGTGCTAGCTATGTTCCAGGCAAGCCGCTATAGTAGGTAACTACATAGTTGGACCTCTAGGTTTTACTTGGTGGTTGCCCATGACTAGCTACTACCAGGGTACCTGGAAGCTGCAAATCGGTTTGCAGGGAAACCAAACGGAAAATGGCAACTTTTAGGGTCTCCAAGTCTGGCCCAGATTCACTCTGGGGCCTGGAGATTCTCCACAGTAAAAAATGAACAGAAACAACAAAAACCGGAAAAAAAAGAAGAAGAAAAAACACCTTGCCAAGAACGGTGAAGTATTCGTAAAGTTCTTCGGAGAGTACTCGAGACCGAGACCCGATCGGAGGGCCTCAGCGATGGGTGAGGGAAACCGTCGGAAACCAAAGGAAGGCAAGGGAAGCCGAAGAAAACCAGGGGAAAACCATGGGACAGCCAGGGGAAGTCGGAGAAATCTGGAGTTTAGATGACTCGATCCTTTTTATTCTACCCACAAAAAGGCCTAGCGAACTGCCTTTTCTCTGCCCACCAAAACAAATGCTACAATTGCAGAAAAAGCGGGGTCCTCTGGATCCTTGCAACTCTGCGCGCCGAGCCGCACGATCTTCTTTGCCTCCAGCACACTGCCGACACGGTGAAAGTGCACGGAGTGGTGGTGGGACTGCGAAAGCAGCCTGCCGAAATTGGCCCGACGATGAGGGCTGCACAACAAACTGTAACAGTTTCCAGCACCCCCCCACCCCCCAACTTTTTGCTATGTCCAAAATTTCAGGTACTGCCTCAGAAGAAAGGCCCACTCTTGTCTTGTTTTGGCAATGTTGGGGGTGGCTATGCAAAGCACAAAAGCAAGCCAACCATCACCATTGTTTTCGTACCGGATGGATTCCTCATTTGCAGTTTGGGAGAGCAGTTTGCAACCTGCAGTTGTCCAAGCAGAACAGGGCAAACTCTATTCAATACAGTTTGGTTTTACTGGATCCCAGGCGCTTCGCCACTATAGTAGGTAACCCTTCGCTAGTGAATTTCCTCTTGGTTGCTATATCGGGCGGGGAAGCCCTGGGTTGCCTTTACCTGGTAAATGGGATGGTTCTGGGTACTACTGTGGATGAACGAATTCCATTTCGCACCACCTAAGAAGCCCTTGGATGATTCGATTCCCCTGCAAATACCCACCTGGAGTCTCCATGACCCTTTAAAAATGGGTACATGACCACGTTTTTTTGGGTAATGACCAACCATTTTTTAAGGGTCATGGAGACTCCAGGCGGTTTCAACCATTTTTGTAATTTCGTGGTGGCGATTTTTGGATTTCGCAACCATCCACATGGCGACAGCCCTTTTGGAAACACCGGGCTGCACCCACGCCCACGTCTCGTGCCCGCGCCGTCGCGCCATCGCGCCATCGCGCCTGGGGCAGAGGGGCCCGTGCAAGAGCCGCTCGCAGAAGTCCAGGGCATGCTGGTCGTCCTCGCCGGAGCGAGCCGAAGACTTCGAGCCGTTGGCCCCAAGCGATCCTCCAGAGCCAAAAACCTCAAATGGCCATGGGTCAAAACCCCACCAGTGAACCTCCGATTCAATCCAACCACTAAAATAGGTTCTGAAATGGGTGGTGCACCGAACATCCCAAAATGGGATCCCATTGGTTTTGAACCATGGCCAAATCAGCCTCCCTCAAAAAGGGTGGTTGGAGCCGAATCGGATCCTCCACTCAGAGGCCCAGTGGATTGTCAGAGAAAAATGCACTGGGCATCCTTTTTTGGTTGAGTTTAAAGGGAACTCTTCCCCAAAAAGTTGAAAAAAGGAAGCAACCCACCGGGCAACCGGGGGGACCGGGAGACCCAAAAACCGCAAACAGCTTCCTCAAAAGGGTGGTTTGGTGGTGAAATGGAGGGGGTTCCCACTTACCCTCTACGAGAACCAAGGGTTCGACTCCCCAAACCACCAATCCAAACCACCAACTACGTGGCACCTTATCAAACAATGCCATGCCCCCCTCCCCCTGAAAAAACAATCGATTTTTGGGTTGGGAAAGACGAGGTTTTCAGATTGAGTTATTTACAGGAAGTACACACACGTTCAAAGACAATTCGTCCCCTGGGAGAAAAAAGAAAAAACATATGTGACAGATTCCCTGTTAAAACCAACAGGGCAGAATTAAGCACATTAAGCAAATCAAAGTTATCAAAGGAAGTTTAGAAGGAACTTCCGTGTCACGGCAACTAATTGAAAGCAAGCTCTCGCTGAGACAGATGAAGAGAAGGAATAAGCGCGCGCGAAAATATGTGCGCGCGTGTGGTGGGAGTATAGAAAGCTGCAAAAAGCATGGCCCCGTGCGTGAATTCGGAGAGCCGAAAGCTAGCCTGTTCGCGGCGCCTGGTCGGACCACTCTCGGAGCGCGTTCGGAGCGCGTTCGGACCATGCTCGGAGCGCGGGCACATTGGCACGGCAACGCGGAGGTTTCGCAAGGATTGAATTGCGTGGCAGGCGCAGCACTTTCGCAAGGTGAGGTGCAGATTTCGTGGCAGGCGCAGCACTTTCGCAAGGTCAAGTTTTCCAAGGTCTGAATTGCGTGGCAGGCGCAGCACTTTCGAAAGGTCAGGTGCAGAGTTCGTGGCAGGCGCAGCACTTTCGCAAGGTCAAGTTTTCTCAAGGTTTGAATTGCGTGACAAGCGCAGCACTTTCGAAAGGTGAGGTATGCGCGCGCGTGTGGTGGGAGTTAGGAATCTGCAAAATGCATGGCCCCGTGCGTGAATTGGTGTCTCCGGGAGCACGTTCGGGCAGTCTCGGACCATGCTCGGAGCGCGGGCCCATTGGCACGGCAACGCGGAGGTTTCGCAAGGATTGAATTGCGTGGCAGGCGCAGCACTTTCGCAAGGTGAGGTGCAGATTTCGTGGCAGGCGCAGCACTTTCGCAAGGATTTGAATTGCGTGGCAGGCGCAGCACTTTCGAAAGGTCAGGTGCAGATTTCGTGGCAGGCACAGCACTTACGCAAGGTCAAGTTTTCCAAGGTCTGAATTGCGTGGCAGGCGCAGCACTTTCGAAAGGTCAGGTGCAGAGTTCGTGGCAGGCGCAGCACTTTCGCAAGGTCAAGTTTTCTCAAGGATTGAATTGGCGTGACAAGCGCAGCACTTGGTATGCGCGCGCGTGTGGTGGGAGTTAGGAATCTGCAACAAGCATGGCCCCGTGCGTGAATTGGTGTCTCCGGGAGCACGTTCGGGCAGTCTCGGACCATGCTCGGAGCGCGGGCCTATTGGCACGGCAACGCGGAGGTTTCGCAAGGATTGAGTTGCGTGGCAGGCGCAGCACTTTCGCAAGGTGAGGCGCAGATTTCGTGGCAGGCGCAGCACTTTCGCAAGGTCAAGTTTTTCCAAGGATTGAATTGCGTGGCAAGCGCAGCACTTTCGAAAGGTCAAGTGCAGAATTCGTGGCAGGCACAGCACTTTCGCAAGGTCAAGTGCAGAATTCGTGGCAGGCGCAGCACTTTCGCAAGGTTAAGCAAAGATTTCGTGGCACGCGCAGCACTTTCACAAGGTCAACTTTCGCAGCCGGGGCTCGAAAATCGCAGTACAAAAGTAGTACGCGAAGTCAACTTTCGCAGCTGGGGCTGCAAAATCGCAACTTTTAAGTACGAAAGTAGTGCGCGAAGTCCACTTTCGCAGCTGGGGCTCGAAAATCGCAACTTTTAAGTACGAAAGTAGTACGCGAAGTCCACTTTTGCAGCTGGGGCTTGAAAATCGATAGGCAGATAGATAGATAGAAAAAGAGATAGAGAGAGAGATAAATAGATAGATAGAGAGAGAGAGAGAGATAGATAGATAGATAGAGAGAGAGAGCGAGATAGATAGATAGATAGATAGACTGAGAGAGAGAGAGAGATAAATAGATAGATAGATAGATAGATAGATAGATAGATAGATAGATAGATAGATAGATAGATAGATAGATAGATAGATAGATAGATAGATAGATAGATATATAGATAGATAGATAGATAGATAGATAGATAGATAGATAGATAGATAGATAGATAGATAGATAGATAGATAGATAGATAGATAGATAGATAGATAGATAGATAGATAGATAGATAGATAGATAGATAGATAGATAGATAGATAGATAGATAGATAGATAGATAGATAGATAGATAGATAGATAGATAGATAGATAGATAGATAGATAGATAGATAGATAGATAGATAGATAGATAGATAGATAGATAGATAGATAGATAGATAGAGAGAGAGAGAGAGATAGATAGATAGATAGATAGATAGAGATAGAGAGAGAGATAGAGAGATAGATAAACAGATAGATAGGTAGATAGAGAGATAGATAGATAGATAGATAGAGAGAGAGAGAGATAGATAGAAAGAAAAATAGATAGATAAATAAACAGCAGATAGATAGAGAAAGATAAATAGATAGATAGAAAGAGCGATAGAGAGATAGATAGATAGATAGATAGGTAGATGGATAAAGAAATATATAGATAGATAGATAGATAGATAGATAGATAGATAGATATATAGATAGATAGATGGATGGATGGATGGATGGATGGTAGACAGATAGATAGATAGGTAGAGAGAGAAAGATAGAGAGATAGGTAGAGAGCTGGGTAGATAGAGAGCTAGAAAGATAGGTAGATGTATAGATAGATAGAAATATAGATAAATAGAGAGATTGATAAATACACGAGAGACAAAGAGATAGATAGATAGATAGATAGATGGATGGATAGATAGATAGATAGATACATAGATAGATAGATAGATAGATAGATAGATAGATAGATAGACAGATACATAGATAGATAGATAAATAGAGAGAAAGAGAGATAGACAAACAGAGAGAGAGAGAGAGAGAGATAGATAGATAGGTAGATAGAGGGATACATAGAGAGATAGATAGACAGAGAGATAGATAGAGAGATAGACAGATAGAGAGACAGATAGATAGATAGATAGATAGATAGATAGATAGATAGATAGATAGATAGATAGATAGATAGATAGATAGATAGAGAGAGAGAGAGATAGATGGAGAGATAGATAGATAGATAGAGATTGAGAGAGAGAGAGAGATAGATAGAAAGAACGAGAGATAGAGAGATAGGTAGAGAGATAAATAGATAGATCGATAAACAAGCAGAAGATAGATAGACAGATCGATTGATAGATAGAGAAATAGCTAGCTAAGTAGATAGCTAGATAGAGAGATAGATAGAGAGATAGGTAGATGCATAGAGACATAGATATATAGATAGATAGATAAATAGATAGAGAGGTAGATAGATGGATGGACAGATAGAGAGAGAGAGAGATAGAGGGATAGAGAGATAGATAGATAGAAAGAGAGATAGAGAGCTAGGTAGATATCTAGATAGAGAGATAGAGATAGATAGATAGGCAGTTAGGTAGATAGATAGGTAGAGGAAGATAGATAGTTAGACAGATAAAAAGACAGAGAAGAGACAAAATAAAGAACAGCACACAAATAAGCAAACGAAAGGAAGAAAGAAAAGACAGATAGAAAGAAGGAAAGAAGGGAGAAAGGAAGGGAAGAAAGGAACACTGACGGAGAAAAATGAAACAATGAAAAGGAAGAAGAAGAGGAAAAGAGTCAAGAAAAGAAAGAGAAAGATAACTATAGTTTTTATATTTTTGAAACTTCCGCCCACCGGCTTCGCCGGCTCTACTGGTATTGGCATGATTAAAGTCTCCCGTACTCTGGGTAAACGAAATCCATTTCGCACCACTTGGGATAGATGAAGCGCAAGTACTGGGATGAACATCCTACGAACTGGTCAGAGTGGGAAACCGAGAAGTACTGGGCTGTCCAAACTGTTCCCCTGCTAAAAGTTGAGCGCTTCTGGGTTCAAGGGAAACCCACTACACCAACGAAAAGCCTGAGGACCAAGGCTGAGAAGCTGCAAGCTTGGCACGACCGTCGCGCGCGCCAAATCACTAGGTCAAAACGACACCCCAGAGACTGTGATAACTCAAACACGCAACATATCATGGTTACCAGATTTATGTCGACAAGACTTGAGTATTTCCCTTAAACATTATCTTAAGCATCCCCCACTTCCAGGACAATGTGTCTTTTGGAGGACACCCGTTTCATGTTGGCCAAAAGTTACCAGGTCCTCCAGAGAGGTTACCCTTTTTTGGTAGTCTATTTTAGGGAAACCCTCCCCCGAAAAAGGGTGAGAAAGGCCACTGGGGGACCTAGCTCGCCAGACTTTTCTGGACCAGACATGGTGTATGTGTCAACATTGGGGATGCGGACACCCAACATCGGCGTTCCTTTTGTTTCTCCAAAAGCAAACGCCCACTTAGACCACCTTGTCCATTGAAACCAGATACATCCACAGAAGAAACAGCTGATGCCTGGCCTGTAGTTGACTGATGAGTCACAATCGAAACTGATCGGTGTCCACCCAAGACCATGTAAAGAAATCAACAAACATGTGTGGCTGGGATTGTCCCTTACTATCCTTAATCTACCCGGGTTTTGATGCACCAGTCCAACAAGAAAGACAAGGCAGAGCTCGGCAACTCCAGAGGTAAGCCCAATGACATCTGGGCACAGATTGAGTCACCAACGGAACCCAACGACATTAGATCGTCAGTAACCCCTATCCCCGTGGCCCTATGGGCTGCCATCCTTCCCAATGGAACCCTGGATTCATATCTGGTTGTTTAATAGGGGGGTGTCCCCTTTTTAAGTAGTTGGATTCTATCCCAATTGGAGGGGGACCCCGTATTAGTAGGACAGGTTCTACTTAGGTCCGCGGTCGACATCAGATGGTGAATCTTGGGCCTTGTGGATCGATCCCATGCATGGTCCCAGACCAGTTATTGTCCAAAGGGTCTATTTGGGCGTGTCGCTTTTAGGGGCCCCCACCCAAATTTGCTTCGGTTGTCCCTTTGGTTTCCGCTTTAAAAACATCACAAAAGGGTACCCTAACAAGACACACACACACACACTTTAAGCCAAGATCTCGGTCAACCCACGCAGAAGTCGGAAATCTTCCATTTGCTTAACAATACTTGTTCTTTCCCTGTTAGTTTGTCACGGAACCTATCACTATTGCAAACATGTTTCATTCTTTCCAGGGGGCTTCAGCAAATGGAGGGCTTGGTGGAGTATCAAGGCTCCACATCCAGTTTGGATTTGTAACAACTGCAAGTGACTTTATTCAATCTTCACAAAGCATCAAACCACAACTACACCATCACTCAAGCACCCACTAGACCATCATCAAACCCAAAGAAGCAGTTTTGCCATGGTCACAACTCCTTGTATATGTGGACCAGGGTCCAAGACCAAGACGCCCAGCGGTCATGGCGAAAACAGGCCACTTGCTTGGCAGTTTATGTGAATCGGAACCTCCTCCAAAAAAAAACTACCGGGTGTCTGGGATGACCGTCCCTAGTGACCTGTATTTTGACAATGCTAGCAGTCTGGGCTGTTTAACATAGTGTGTTGGCCAATCCTAATCCATAATCCCGAGTGAACTATCAAGGGGACCACATACATAATTAGGCCAAAACCCAGCGGCACCCCACCATCCAGGCAAACAATTCTGAGCACTTACCGCTTATGTAACTCACAAGGGGAAGGAGTTGTCGGATTCCCGAATCAGATGCCCTCTGCGAGGCCGCCTCTGGATAGACGAACAGCGCGATCACGTCGGGGGAGTCCGGGTTCTCATAGACCTAAGCAGCAAAACTCTGAGGGTCCGAGAGAGCCCCATGTGTTTTGACGAAAGTCACTCCCTAAGTGGCCCAAAGGCTTCCAGATACAACCATAGGTAACCAGGCTGCCTCTAGGTTTTACATCTTAAGCTTTTTCCCCTGGTTTCCTATGGCGGTAAGTGAAAGCACTGGGTGGTAGCTGCAAGACAGCTGATTTTGATCTCTCAAGATCATGACTGTCGCGTCCCACTGGCCCAAAAGAGGCCCTAGAGAGGCGGGGAGTGCGCCGCTTTGAATCATGTGAGCAGCCCCTGAAATGTACCCATGTTGGCTTCGGATTCATCCGGAGGACCGTACTAATCCGCGGCGGTTCCTCTTTTAGTACGGGCATTATCTACTTGTTGGGAGTTCCTCTCACTACAGTTCCCTGGAGTCTCCATGACTCTGAACAAAATGGGGTCATTTACCAACATAAAGGGGTAATGGTTCAACCTATGTTTCAAGGGCAAGAAAAAAGACTCCAGACACACAGGCCCTGACTACAACCACCAATAAGACCAAATATCACCACCTAAGCTCATGTTGCTTAGAAACTGGTTTGGATCCAGAGGTTTGGATCCGAGAGATCCAGAAGCCGATCCGAAAGAACAAGACAGAGACTGGAAACACAAATACACATGGCTGATGCTCAAAACCCCAATCGTACCCCCGGTGAACATTCGATTCAATCCAACCACTAAAATAGGTAACCTAAAATGGGTGGTGAATTCACCTACACCCCAAAATGGTAATTCCCATTGGCTTTTGACCCACGGCTAGAACGGGCCGTTGGCATCTGGTGAAGGAATTTTCCAAAAACGGAGCCTTTCGGATCGGAAACTCATGGGTGAGGCCCAGTGGATCAGATGAATTCACCTTGGTAACCAAGCAAACGAAGCCTTCCGATATTTGGAGTCTCCTTCTGACCCGAAATAAAAATGGATCAATGACCAACCATTTGGGTAATAACCATTTTGGAGACTCCAGATAGATCAGGGCTATGGGGAATGGAATCCACTTCTGTGATACAGAAAGGGCCTAACCCCAAAGACGAACGATTTTGTGAATAAGGGGGATTCCAACTTGTATCACAGAAGTGGGGAGAAACCCCTTGATCCCACAGAAAGGACAAAAGGAAACTGCACAGTTCCTTAGTATGCGGGCAACTAAGTCTCAGTTGTCCAGGCGACCCCAAAATCTAAGATTGACCTTTGGGCCTCATGACCAGCGGCAAAAGATCGTCTTTGGGCAAGTGAGCGGTTCCGCTGGGACAACATATTTTACTGTCCCTTGGCTGGTGAAGCTCTAATTTCAAACTCGTCTGAGGATGAAGCGCACCCTTTGGATGTCTTGAAAGGGACGCCACCACGGTTGCTTTCCTGCCAAAAGGAGCAAACATAAAAGGCGAGCCTTGTCGGGCACTCGATCTGGGGCAACAGCGGGAAACCAAAGGATCCAAAGGTCGGCTTTGGGCAAGTAAGGGTGCGAAGGGCGTCCCGTAAACACCCCCAATATTGATTCAAACCAGACTGTCCGCCAAAGAACCCCAGAACCCAATGATTTCGGGGTTCGAACCATCCGCCAACTTCTCCGATTCATCCGACGGAAAGGGCCTGCAATACAGCGCCCTAGGGAAGCAAAGGGAAGGGAGTTGGGAAGAGGGATTGTAAGAGAGAGGGGAGCAAAATGTAAATTTTAGTAGGTAAGTGGGGATTTCCCACTAAACCACAATAAGCAAAAATGCAACATGTTTCACAACCAAGAGAGGGGGTGATCCGCAACACCAAAATTATCGGGGTTGAGTGCTTGTCCATGCTTCTCAACCATCCTTCTTTTCCAAAACCAGGTGTTTTCCCTGGGTTTCTGGAGGTTTTCCGGAAAGGATCCCTGGAAAGAATGGAAATGGAAGGTACCCCTAAAAAAATGAAGTATTGCTTGAGGCCCCGACAGGACGTCGACAGTAAGTTTGTTTGTATAGGAAACAACTAAAACTGTGACCTACAAATTTAGTCACCAACATGGAATCAATTTAGTTACCAATTTAGTCCCATTTTTTTTGTTGCTCCAGTTGGTTTGTAATAGTCCACACAAAGCTAGCTTTGGCTTGCTTGTAACTCAGATGACCAACCACTTGTCAATCGGGGAGCAACAAAACAGGATCCAGCTGCTCGGATTCCTGGTCAAAGCCTGGGCTGTAAAAGGCTTGGATCACTGAAATGGCGTTTCCAACTGGGTGGTCAATACAGGCGCAAAGAACAACAAAACAAACAAAAAGGCCACCTACTCCCTTCCCCCTTTAAACCGAAAGAAGACCCCTCAGAAAGAAAAACAAACAAGCTACCAAACCTCCCCACCCCCCAAAAAACACAAGAACGAAGACCAACTCTGACCATCCCCAAGACCCCAAGACCCCAAGGTCTTTACCAGGGCACTAAATGCCGGTTCCACTCTGCTTCCTTCTGGCAGGGCCGGCCTTCCTTCACCCTCGGAATCGCACCGCCCATGTTTTGCAGGCGAAGCGTGGTGTGGATTTCAAAGGCCATGGCTCAGAAGCCAAATCCGATCCCCCAGTGAACCTCCGATTCAATCCAACCACTATAGGTACTAAAATGGGTGGTGCACCGAACACCCCAAAATGGTACCATTGGTTTTGAGCCACAGCCCAATGGGTCCCGGAGCCTTTGGACATCAACTAAAAATTCATTTGCTTGAGCCGCCTGAAAAAAACAATACATATTCTTTAGCAAATGGAAGAAACTAAAGGGGGGTCATGTCCGCAGAAATGGGTTTGCCAATGAACTGGTCTTAGGTCTTCCCAGAAAATCAAGGAGCAAGGTTGCACCTTTGCCAGGTTGCAGCGTGGTCCACTTAACCCCCTTGGGAATCAGACTGGCATACGGATCCGGAGAGGAAACCAGAAACACTTTTAGGGCCATGCTGTGTTCCAATTGGAGGCGAATCTCGAGGACGTGCGAACAGTGGCAGTCCCATGTTGCAACAGGCGACCGGGCAACCGATTTTCCTCGGGGCATTTCTTGTGAGTCGGCTCACATATCTATCTATGCACATACAAACTTACGGTATATCCAGCATGTACCGGCGAACAAATATGGTACCCTCTAAGACTCCGTGTGTGCCATGGTCCAAACTCCTTCCGTGCGTCATGACAAGCTTATGCTGGTCATTGAGGATCATTACTACCAGGTGAATGACAGTGGATGACCATCCCAACGTTAACACCGAGTAAAGGAACTGGTCTTTGACCGAGCGGGCAATCCATGTAGGTATATATATATATATATGTATATGTATGCCCAAAAAGACTCCTCCAAATGGATCAACCGTTGGCACATATATATATATATATATTACCTACAGTCGGATTGCCTGGGTGGTTGTCCCTGCTTCCAGTCACCAAGGTAATGTTGACCCAATATAAATCAGCCAACCAGTGCATTAATAGGGGGTGTGGCCCTCCCAATACTGGTCCGATTCTCCAATTTCACCCATGGAAAAGCACCGGGACCCCTATCAATACACAGCTTAATTGAAATTTCATACATTTCACTCAAGGAAAAGCACCCCCGTATTCATAAACAGGTTTTCAAACTCTTATGGGGTCACAACCAGGCAAGGTACCAGTTCAAAACCAGCCCCCTATATATGGCGCACCAGTCCAAAACCATGCAGACCTCTACACCAACGAACCGCCCCCGAGATTCCGGTCTGGCCCCAAGTCCCCAAGAAATTCACCGAGAAAACGGGTCGGTTTCCCACCGACTTGCGTCAGCCGCCTGGTTGGAGTTGGAGTCGCGTTTCTTATTGCCGGAAAGCCCGGGGTTTTCCAAAAACGCCGCAAGACCGCAAGCTCGTTCCAAATCCCCGGCCTTCTTTGAGGGAGTTTGATTATTTTTTCTCCGGAAATTGCGGGGGATGTCCGGCCTGGAAAGCCGTATGGCCATGTTTTGTGTGGCCCAAGCCGTATGGACAGGAAAAACAAGGTCACATATGGGTTCCAGGAGGTTTCCAAGAAGGTAAAGACCGGTGCCGCCTTTTGTGCGACGGGTCGACATCAGACCCTTAGAAAAGACCCTACAAAAAGACCCTAAAAGAAAAGCGGGTGTTGGGTGGTTTCGGGCCAGGCACAACAATAGTATTTCTGCAATTTGGGCCCCTAGTGGTCGGCTTCCTTTTGGCTTCCCTTTACTATCCAAACGTTGGGACACCTGCTTCGGGGGGCTTTTCATTTGCATTTCTGAAAGTAAACTTAAATGCTTGACAACTCTCCTCCCGCCATGGAAGTGCACACAAACTACTGTCGTACAAAATGGCCACGTCTGTTGGACATGGGTTCTGTGCACTTCCATGTTTCTTGTGGAAATGCGACTTCGAGACGCGTTTTGAATGGCAACTGCACCCACGTTGATTCGCTCTGAAGCAAAACGGTTGCCAGAAGACCCAACCAGCTAGGGACTGCATTTCCCTCAAGAAGTGTCCAACAAACATCTCATGGCCTACTTGGGTGTTCGGCCCAAGTTAATAGGCTATAGCTATGGTTCTGACCCAGGTGGCAGTTTGTTGTTAACCTAGGTTATGGTTATACTTACACGTGCCCGGTTCGGTGGGGGCAACTTTGTTGCTAGGGGGGTTATAACCCAAGTGGCTAACCTACTAAACTGGGCCAATATCCAAGGAGAAAAAAACACTTTTTGAACTTGGCACGCTTGGACACTGGCTCAAATCTGGTGGAGTATACCCGAAACGAGGTACACCCTCAAACGCTTGTGTTACTTCGCCTGGGGACGTAAGGCGATATTTTCATGTTCAAACTTCAACTCTCCGTCTTGCTGATTGTGGCTTTCAACTGGTCGGTCGCACAAGAAGGACCAAGCCCTTTCTACAGGGCTGCCCGGAATTTCTTGCTTTGCTTTTGCGGGCTCCTCGGCAACCTGGAGAGTCCAAACTTCAGATGATGAAATGCACAAGTCCCAAACCCCCAGTGGCCAGGTGATACCGGAACCCCCTGGAACGTTCCCTGAAGGTTGCCTCAAACCACCAGAGCCTATCTGGGCAAAGACCAAAGCCATGTCAGCAGCTGGGGAAAAAAGTAAGACTTGTTTGGTAGATGTTAAAGAGGACCACAGCCCTCCAACGAAAAGGCTTTTCAGACGCTGAAAAGTATCAGCTTCCCTCCAATAATTGGTGGTTTGGAGCACGGTAATTTGGACGTGTTCTGGGGTAGTTTCCCATTTACCCTCTACAAGAACCATGGGTTCAAATCCCAAATCACAAACCCAAAGCACCAACTCAGGGTTACCTGAAAGTAGCGGGTAGTGATGAAAAGGCCGTCGTTTTTCCATGTTCAACCATCACTCGTTTGACTGGTCATGCCCCCTTGATTTGGGGCAATGACCAACCATGCGTTGAAGGTCAGAAGGAGAGCTCAAGTAGAAAGAGTCCCTCTTGAGCCCAAAACGAAAACGACGACAGCCGATCTTGAAAACATTGAGACAAGCCGCCCGATGCGAAAGCGCTTGAAGAGAATCTGATGATCCAGTACAGTGCAGTGTGAAGGCCCTGCCTCTGCGTCAGGCAAAATCTGAGGCGCCCCTTTGAAAATCTTGCGCTTCCTCTTTCGGGGGCAAACCCCCCTCCCAATTTGGCAGTCTCCAAGCTAGTCCAAAGTCTAATTGGGTGTCTCTTTTAGAGTACCCCTTTTTCCCCAACAGCTGAAAGCTTTGAGGTGTCAGCCCAGATAGGCTGCGGGGTGGTCCGGGGCGGCCCTGAGGTAAGGTTCCACGAGGTTCTGCGATGGCTGCGGGGTGGTGCGAGCACTAAAAAATGCACCGCATGCTGTTGGGGATATCGCCTGAGCTTATTTGGTGGTTTTAGAGGGAAACCAAAAGAAAAGCAGTCATTTTGAGAGGGCCCCCTAAACAACAAACTCAATTCTCTGGGGATGCCCACTTCCGTGGAGCGGTCAAACACGTTTGACATTTTGTTCGCTCAATTTGTCTTCCAAAAGGTACGCTCAGGAACTGGGGGACTGAGGGCCCTTTGCAAGCGGATGGTAACCCACAAGCAATGGTTTCCCATGCTTTCAAAGTGGTGCAGGATTTTGTCCAAAACCTCCAAGTCTCTGCAACCAATGATTGCCAACCCTACTACTTTGTCACTTAGGAGGGTCACTGCAGATGTCAACACAGCAACGGAAGACAATCACTTTGTCAGCTGTACTATATGTATGTATGCATATGTGTGTGTGTGTTTATGTAGCTATATATATATATGTGTACATGCGTACAGGTGCATGTATGTATGTATGTATGTATGTATGTATGTATGTATGCATGTATGTATGTATGTATGTATGTATGTATGTATGTATGTATGCATGTATGTGTGTATGTGTGTATGTGTGTATGTGTGTATGTGTGTGTATGTATGCATACGCTATGAACGCTTGGCTGCCATGGGCAAAGAGTCACGGGCGTGGTTGTCGTTTTGTTGTTTTGTTTTTTTGGTTCTGCCCTTTTTCGTGGTTTTTCAAGTGAAACCAAAGAGGACACCCACCAGCTTTGCGGATTTCTATCAAAACGACACACCCACATGGCTGTGAGTCAAAACCGATGGCACCAGTTTGGGGTAGGTGCACCACCCATTTGAGTCTTTTTTACTGGGGATTGGGATGTTCACTGGGGGTACGATGTGGCTTTTGACCCATGACCACAGGGCAATCACTCTGAGGCTGGAACGTTAATCCTCATCTCTGGACGAAGGGCGACGGCGGAAGGGAGCCTGGGAATCCAAAAAAGCCAAAGGGAATAATGATCTGACGCCTGACTCAGGTGCCAGCGCCTGTCTTGCTGTCAGGAGGTGTTAGCCCAGGGCCAAAAAGGTGCTGCAAAAAAACACCAAAAAGAGAAATATAGGGACACCTGGTAAAGGAACATCACTTTTCGAACCTGCACTCAAACTGGAGGATGGAAAAGGCTCAAAGATCTATTCGCGGGCAAGTAAGCTCGGATCCGAAGGACAACCAAGCAGTGTGTGTTGTCGGGGTGTGATCCTCTCAGAAAGTCAAACTGTTGACTGCACAGTGAAGGAACCCTTCAACTACATAAGACAACCATTTTCCAAACCAAGCAGCAACCAAGTAACGAGGAGTTCTGCCATCTCACTTTTGGGCTTCAATAGACTTGCCCAACCGTGCGAGGCAAATCATGAGACCTCGCCAGGGCTGGCTTTCAACACGGGTGACAGAACTAGCTCCAATGAAGCTCCAATACTGCTTCAGCGCCATAGCAAGGGCAGTCATGGGAAGGACAAGGCCCTTGATGCCCATGCCCCTAGGCCCAGTAGGTCTAACAGCCACCAAAAGGCCGCAATGGCTCCCCTTGCAAGTCGGCTCTGAATGCGTCTCCCCTAGCGCAAGTATCTTATAATTCTCGAAGTCACCTCAGAATCATAGGTCGGGAACTTTCCCAAAGGGCTCCATGGTACCTCATATATGCGGATGCTTTTTTTGTTTTGTTTCCGGAATCTGTACTTGCCCCCGAGACCACGTTTTCACTAAACCCAAAACCGGAAAAATATGGGACCCGTGCCATTTGGGACCCTTTTCTGAATTAATGCTCACTTCCTGACTGGGTGGCCAAAACATGCCAAAACAACGTCTGAACCTTTTGTTCAGCACTAAACTGGTCCAGCCCAAGAAGCGACTAAAGTCCAGGAACTCAAGAAGTGAGGTTCTATTTTGACACCCCTTGAACATACACTATCTGTAATTATTCAGCTTCCCAAAAGGTCACTAAAGTCCCAAAATGAACTGAGAGAGAGAGAGAGAGTGTGTTTCTCATTTGACCCCCTTTGAACATAAACTCTCTTTCATGGTCCAGCTTCACAACAATTGACTAAAGTCCGAAACGGAACTCCGGGAGTGTGTTTCTCTTTAAACCGCCCTAGAACATAACGAGCTTCCCAAAAGTGACTAAAGTGGACCCGAAAGAACTCACAGAGTGAGTAAAGGGAATGATGCCATCTACTTTCAACCAAATATGGAGTACCGCTGACCCCCTATGAATCAACCCAGTTCATTTATTCAGGGTGTTTGCTGGGTTGAGTGAGGAATCAAACCCACTTTTGGAAGGGCACACCTCCTATTAATGGGACTGGCTTAAACATCCCGGGTCAGTATTACCAAGGGTCCAATCCTCTTAACGAAAGCCACAACCGTAGATATGGGGCATATTCGTCCTAGTTAGAAAGTGGTTAGCCACTTGGGCAAAACCCGCTTATAACAAAGTTAACACTACTTGGGGGACGTGTAAGTGGGTTATAGCCTAGGCCATCAAGTAGCATTTGGCACCGATCACCCCCCAGATCCAAGCCGCAGTGCCCCTATGATCCAGAGCATAGCTCGCATGAATTTGGCAAACCTGGAATGGATCGATCCGATTGGCATCACACGCGAACGTGTTCCCAGGACCCGAGAGACCCGGAAAAAAGACTCGGGTTCAACCTACTTGGAGACCCTCCTTGTCTTTCCACTCCTTCGTGCATTGCGCTGTTGGAAGAACATGTGGCCCCTTTGGCCAAATCAGAAAGACATACATCGGAAGGCAAGCTATCGATATCCCCGATCCGAACACCAGAAGCTCCCAAACGTTACCCCAGAGAAAACGGCTTCGGGCTTGGTGAAAGCGGCTTCGCATTCGTCACTGGGACCCAACAAAGGGAGCCGAATTTCGAAGTCAACCGCAGGCTTTCCCAAATAGTAGGTGTGGGTGTTGGACGGGTAGCCCTTGGGTGAAAGATGGCAAACCCCCCTTACCGGTTTGGAGCCACCGGCACCCTGAAAACCATTTCGGAAGGAGAGCGAAGCGCCGCCCAAGGGACTTTGTGGAGGCAGGTTTTGGGTGCGCGGAGCCGTTCAGACCGGTGAGAAATCTGTGGTAAGCGCCTGTTGCTTGGATCTTGTTGGGGCACAAAGGCAAACATCTGGGGGCGTCCTTGTTTTTGTGGGTAACCTAGACCAAAAGGAAATCGCTATTTTGGGGAACCCTGGCAGCAGCTTTGTTGCATAAGTAGGTCTCAGGTGGCTTAGTGCGGGTTGGGGCTGTGGGATTGTTCCGATCTTTCCGAAGGAACTCATGCTGAAAATGTCCACAAGAAAGGCCGGGCAGCAATGGGTTCTCCAGACGGGGGGATACCCTCAGGCGGTGTGCGTTTTCCGTTACAAATACGCCCATGCACACAGTCTAAGGGTTTCCGGGCCTCATATGGAGCTCCTCAAGTGGACCGATTCAGAGGGGATCCAAATCCATGCGTACCTCGGAAGTCTGCTTAAAAGGTGGATGTGTTTACTCGTACGAGATGGTTTTCAACAAGATTGAAACCTTTGAAGGTCCCAAAAACAGAACAAATAAGGCCGCTGTCACTAAACCTGAGAAATTTGGGCGGGCTTTTTGGGTTGTGGGAACTCTGGGGTCCCAAAGTAACCGTCTACTTGGTTGTACGGAAAATTGGTAAGTTGTAACAGTAACCTTGGATTTAACCCACTTATCAGTCACCCGTTCAGTGGGATTAACCTTGTAGGCGGGTTATAGCAATTTGTTTTACCCTCTCCACACAAGAAGGGTTCGTATGCCACATGTTAAACCGCAACAAGTTCATTAAACAGCCTTCGAAGACTCAAACCGATTTGTGAAAGTAGTAGTATTGAATTTGAAGTATGTTCTTCGGCTTCCATGTGGGTTTCCCTTTTCAGCACGCTCAACGGTCCCTGTTTTCCCCCCTTTGGACCCTGGCAGTCATCGAGTTGGCCCGATCTTTACATGTCGGCCGATTGGCTCGATCCAAATGGCGAACGCGGATCGCGCATGAAGAAATTGCCTCGTGAAAGGCAAACCCCTCCAACTATGTATATATATATATATATACATATATATGGCCATGGGTCAAAACCCCATACCCCCAGTGAACATCCCAATCCCCACTAAAATAGACTAAAATGAGTGGTGCATCTATCCCAAAATGGTACCATTGGTTTTGACCCGCGGGCATATATGCATATATATATATATATATATACATCACCCAGTGGATCCCAGTTGCCACTGTAGTACCCTGTGCTTCCAGTTCCCACTATAGTAGGTGGGTTTCACATGATGGTTTCCCTGGTTAGTTGCTGTACTGGGAACTGGAAGCACTGGAGGTAGCCAGCTGTGTTCCTTTTGGTTGTTCTGTTGTTAAAGGGTGGGCTCCTTTGGATACCTATACAGGCAAATGGATCCGCTGGGATCTGCTCCATGCTACTGCGTGCTTTCCTGATCTCTGACTGAAAGGCAATCTTCTGTCGGGGTCTGGAACCATCTCTGGCGTGGCTCCAGAACTGTCTTTGGCTCAACTCCGGGGTAAGATATCATGTACATTCAGCTCAAATGCCCAGTCGCCAGGTCCTGATGTGCAACTGACCTTCCATTCTTTAAACCCATCTGAAGCTTGACAAATGTGTCTAAAAGCAACACAATCTCGGGGGTTGTGGATGGCACGCTGTGTTTTTCCCCAACAGCTGAAAAGCTTTGGGGTCTCAGCCCAGATAGGCTGCGGGGTGGTCCGGAGCGGCCCTGAAATGATTCCACGAGGGTTCCACCAGGGTTCCAGCAGGGTTCCAGGAGGGTTCCACGAGGTTCTGCGAGGGCTGCGGGGTGGTGCGAGCACTAAAAACAGCACCGCATGCTGTTGGGGATATCACCTGAGCTTATTTTGTACCCGCTGACATGTTGTTCGGTCCAGTCAAGTGGTGTGCGAAAAAACAAGGACTTAGTATGCATTCCGGAGTATTCAGAGGATTACCTTCGTTCCTGGTTTCCCCAAGAATACTCCCCCGAAAAAAAGGAGGGGGAGATGGTGGGACCGCATGAAGGAACAGCAACAGCTTCCTTTTGGTCTCCGTTTCATCTTCCAGAGGAAATTGTTCCCTGGACGGTTCCAAGTCACAAACGCAGAGTGGCAGAGAAAGCAACATCTACCGGTGAACTATTCAAAAAGCAGGGTCAGAATTTTCCCCACTGTTTGCCGCCCATGTGGACAATAGAATACCTGTGAATGAGTCACTTGTTCATTCCCAAACAATCCATGTAAAATATATACCGACATTTACCTGCACTGCATGGATTGCGTGGGATAAAACAGCACCAGCCTTGAAATAAGGAGCGGACATCAATGAAGCAAATGTCATCATCTCACTTCCGAACGACTGGATGGGCCAAAGAGACGGCCTAACTGTTCATTTCGCACAATGGTCCAGCCGTGCCCCAAAAAGTGACTACCTGGAGTCTCCTTCTGACCCGAATCAAAACTGGGTCAACGACCCCATTCTTGTGGGTAATAACCAACCATTTCTTAAGGGTCAGAAGGAGACCTGTCCAGCCCCAAAAACTCAGGAAGTAAGCCACGCGAACTTTCCGGCCACTCGGGACTCGCGCCGGTGTGCCGCAGTGGTTCGGGAACTTCACGGGGTCCCGGTGCCGAACCTGAGTCAACACCTCCCGTTTCTCCGAAGCCAAGGTGGAGAGTTCCCCGGGGCCGCGTTTTTATGGACTGCTCCAAAGCCTCATGTGGGTCAGTTCTCATCTTTTTTTTGCGGGGGGACCCCTGAACATGGTAATACATGGTAGCTGTTCCTATTGGTGTCCAATTGAAAGCCAAAAAGAACATCCTTAAAGACAGACCCAACCAATCCATGTAAATAATATATACCAACAGCTGACCCATGCTGAGGGTAAATGTGGATATAGCTTACCTGCCTGCATTGTGTGCGTCATGTGAGAAATGGGTGTGTCTCCCAATTTTCAGAACCCGAAAAATGGTAGGCTTCGTTTTACAGGGAGGCATAAGAACCAAAGATCAAGCAGCCTCCTCAAGCAACAGCACGAAGCCAAACCAACCAAAACCCAACCAAGAAATGCATCCTACCCACCAATCAGATTGGGCAGCCAAAGGAAGACAAAAACAATCCCAACAAACAGTTTTCGGGTGGGGTTAGGCAGTATATACTCCTTGTACAAGTGATATAACGACCTTCCTCCACAATCGATACCTGAAACTACCGTCTAGCTGCAACCCACTTACCAATGATTCTAAGTCCCCATTTAGCGATTCGTCCCAGAACATCTACTAGGTCCTCCAGTAGAGAGGTTAGAATAAGGGTACCAACTTTCTTCTGTAGTCTACTTTAGTAGTTTGGAACCCTCCTCCCCAAAAAAGAAACGATAAAAGAAACGGCACCTCGCTGGGACAACCTAGTCTAAGTAGCAAACCACACACTCGCTTCGCTTCCTCCGCGCACCCGACCTCCGCTTCGGACCTTCGGACCTTCGGACCTTCGGACCTTCGGACCTTCGGACCCGCGGACCCGCGGACTGGGCGGCCCGGGCTCGGAAGGCGGGCTTGCAGGTGCCGGAGCATTGGCCCCAGCCTTCCCAAGGGCCCCACCTGAGCCACGCGGTTTGGTGCGACGCGTTTGGCCGTTTGGCCGAACGCACCACCCGCGTTTGGCGCCGCTTTTTGGTTGGGTCGGTTGAAAGGGACGCCACATTTTCAGGATTCCCCAAAGCCATATTAGGCAATGGACTTAAACAGGAAATGACCTCAACAGTGGTGGACTTGAATCCTCCTGAATGCTGTCACAGCGAAAATTCACATCCATCTAGTTCAAAGACACACTGGGGTCTAACCATTGGATATAACCTACTTACTGCGTTGGTTGCACACCCAAGTACCTGGAGTCTGCTTCTGACCCTTTAAAAATGGTTCGTCACTACCCAAAATGGAAGGGGACACGGCAACCCAGGCTTGAACCAAAGACTACAACCGCCGTAACCCAGGCTCCGTATAATTCTACCTCAAACTAGGCAAACACCCAAAGCGCCACCCTCAAGAACACACCTATGTGCATTGGATCAGTCAGTGCCGTCGCGAAACCCATCCAATGATTGGCTCCAAGATGGTCATACAAGTTCTGTGCTCGAAGTTGCTAGGGCAAAAACATATATCAATCATCAGACTCTTCTAGGGGTTGATTCCTGTTCCATTGTGTTCAGCCATCATTCTTTTCAGAAACTGCAGTTTTCCCTTTTCTGGAGGTTGTCTAGAAAGATGGATCCTTGGAACAAATGGACATGGAAGATGCGCTAGAAGTGTAGGCATTCACTCGAGAACCCCCTGTTTTTTGAATCAGGGGATGCTTCTTTGTTGAGGCTCGGTACCCTTTTTGGATGGGGGGGGGGCCCTATTTAATGCCACACCCCACATGAATCCAGTACTATCAGTGGTAACCAGGGCCCCGGCTGTCCGTCCACACACCTGCCACGTGGAAATCTGGGGGCTTCGACCACAGAGGAAATACATGTCCGCCTCCTTCCAAGCACGTTGCTTTTATTTTAAACAGCGATAGGGTGGACGCCCAAATATTGCAAGTTACACCGCAGGCAAAACCCCCCAATTCCTCGGTCAGCCTTTCCTGAAAATTCGTTGGAGTTCCCTTCTCCTGGCATACTTTGGGCATCCACCGAGACTTTCACCCGGTTTCAGAAACCCAAGCCGATACAGCCAATTGTGCCGTCAGCACTGGCACAAACCTTCAACTTTCCTCCGATGGTTTCCCATGTATCCCTAAGAACCCCGGGGTCAAGTCCCCAAACCACCAATCCCAACCGCAGCAAACTACTATCAGACAGCTCACAAAGCACAGCCCCCGCTTCCTCCACTTCGGAGATTGGCAACGTCGCCTTCGGCGCATTAGATCCCCACCAAGCTTCCACTTATTGAGTACCTGGAGTCTCCATGACCCTTAAAAAGTTGGGCAATGACCCCATTATTTTGGATAATGACCCCATTTTGTAAGGGTCATGAGACTCCAGGTAGCGGGTTGATTGAGTAGACCATGACGGCAGAATTCGTTCATATAGCCTGCATCGTAGTACACATACCTGTACGACGCTGCCAGTGCCGCGGCCCTCATCAGTGAGTCTGGACATGTTCCACTAAACTCGTCCGGCCCGAAACAGGGATCCGGATGCATTATACACCTGAACATTGCAACTTGTAAATGGCGGTTTCCCTTTGTCTTGGCGTTGAAAAAGCCTGCAAAAGAAGTGACGTTAGCGTCTGAAACGGAACTCTGGGAGTGCGACTTAGGGATCGTTCAGAACGCCCAGCCAAACCAAAAGCACTCCCGAACCAAGGGCTCTGACGCTCTGACGCCAACCGCTTTTGTCGCGAGACATCCACTCAGGCGAGGCCCTAAGAGAGAATGTCGGATGTGATGCATTGCCATCTTCTTCTTCTTCTTCTTCTTCTTCTTCCCAACCTTTGGCGGTGACAAAAGCTTTGTTTTTTGCAGCCCGCCTGAAATGTTCAGAATCCAAACAGGCAAACCACGCAAACACGTAACCCTCCGATGAACATAAAACCTGAGCCTCAAACAAAAAATAACGAGCCACGCCGGCTGGGATGGGAGCCTGACACTTCCCACTGGGTGGCCAGCAAAACGCAACGCGCCGGCCACACGTGGAGCAAGTCTCGTTGTTGCAGATGCCAACCTGGCACGGAGCTTGGCGTTTCAAGGCGCTCTCATGCTGCAGCTGCCCACAAGCAAATATGTGCATTTTCAGGTCCAGCTCACTTCCCAAGGGGTGGATAGAAGGACGGGAGCCTGGGCAGTCAGGTCAAGCATGGGCCAAAACAAACCTAGGAACTTCTGATTTACCACCCACATTCCGACAACATGGGGAGGGAGTCCTGTGAAAGCCAAGGGCACCATGCCCAACACCTGCCAAATTGACTGCG